ATGGGACCTAATTCACCAAAATGACTAAGTTGTCCTATGCTGATCAGGACCTTTGTTGGATATTTTAACAAAAATCATTTTTGGAATAGTTATTTTCTTACAACAACAGGAAGTCAGCTTGGAAAAAACTGAACTTAGCCAGGAGAAACCTCCGAGCTCATATAAGAGATGTTTCTTTTAACCTGCATGACAGCTGACACCAACCCACTGTTTAGCTTGCACTCCATTATTTCTGGTTCACCACCAATTCAAGAAGCAGGAGTAACTGGATCCTATTTGCATTGAAATGAATTTGATAATACCTTGCCAAATGACAAAGTGCTGTGCACTTGTATGCCCATTAAATGATAAATCTCATTTTACAAAGAGGATAAAAAAGTTACAAATCTTCTCTACAGGCAATTCCTCAAATTTCTAAGCCACACTACATGCAGTACATTATAATCTTTTCCAAATGAAAAAAAAATCTTCATTTATAAAAGCGGTGTCAAAATATTTTTTTAAAAGCTTTTCAGTTTACTAATTAGAACTAATAGTCTTTTCAAAGAAAAAAAAATGTCAAAGACCTTCAGAATATATGAAAAACCCAAAAATTCTAAGGCAGTCAAACAATTTTTCTGTAGCTTGCTCACTGCCGTAATATCAAAACAAAGGACTCAATGGAAAAGGCATTATTTAGTTAAAACGGAAGCCCACAGCAGCCCCATTTAAGCTTACTCAACACTGATCCAAAAACAAAAGGCAATGGAGTTTTAACCTTAGTTTAATCTGTTGGCTCATATCCCTAGTCAATACATGACACGATCTGGACAAGATTTAGTGGGCTGTATAGTTTAAAAGATGGTCACTAAATCTTCATCCACTAGACACTGTATTAGTTGCCACAGCAGGTAATCCACAGGAGGATATTGCCACACTCTTAAAAAAAAAAGACATTCCCGAGAGGAAATGTTAGTCTCATATACACATCTATTGCCCCATTCACAACAAAAGTTGATCTGTTGACTAACAGATCTGTGGATAAAATATGGCTGACCCACTTAAAAGTTTGCCATGAATCCCTGTGGGGGATCTGTTCAGTGTCTATCAGGGGACTATGCGACAAGCTTTCAAGTGGGTTGTCCATATCTGATCAGCGGATCTGTTGGTTGGCACATCATCTTGTGCTGACTGTGCCTATATGCTCTAGGAGAGAAAAACAATCTTTTTTACTGGCTTCATGAGGTGTAAACCGAAAAAACTTGTGTTTTTAACATTTAATCAGAGGCGGATTGAGACCGTCTTCTGGGTCTTCTGGAAGACGATCATATTTTAAAGTTTACATTGACGGGTATCTATTTTTTTTTCTGTTGGAAGACCATCAAAAATGGAGGATGGATCAACAAAGATAATTTGGAATACTGTCAGAAAATATCTCTGGATTCGCTCCTGATTTGATGCTGTGTTAATAGCATGATTTTTTTTTTTTTTTTTGTTGTTTGTTTGTTTGTTTGTTTGTTTGTTTAAACACCACTGTACATTTATGGTGAAGCCTTTAAACACAAAATTTAAAGCAAATGAAGCCAATCTTAGAGGAGGCATTTTCAGGAAATGACTGAAAATAAAAAGTATTAACATCCAATTAATGGTTTCAATCTCTGTTTGCAACTATTTAAATCCCCAAAATGTCCACACACTTTTTCTTAAAACATGAAACTATGCAGATTCTCAATTTTGTATATAAAAAATATAAATATGATATTGTTACATGTCTTATGACTGATAGAAGGATATTGTAAGTTTCAAAATTAGTCAACATAAGATACCCACTGAAGAAGTAAATACAAAGATTAAGGATTCCCTCTACCAGGGACTTAGAACCAAATGACCATCTATCTATCTAGAGACATATCTGTGAATATCTGTAAAAAATCTATCAGTCGTCCTGGTAGAGGGTAGATTTAGGATACACTGAGATTTCAAAAGAGAGCTATCAAGTTTTTGCCCTTTATCGCTCTGCTTATTTGCTATTCAGTTCAGCGAAGCCTGCTTATCTATAGGGTGAAAATTGTCACAGGGACAATGGGTCATTTAACACTCAATAGTTAAGGGGTGTGAGTATCATTGCTAATACTGTATAATGAAAAATGACCCACTAAAGGATTCCCTTGGACTTGACACTCAGAGTGAAATGGAAATTAAAGCTAAATAAATATTAAACCACTAATTCGCGGATCTATATATAAATTGATTTATAAAATTCTCAGTGGTTTACTATAAATCTTATAAGTTATCAAACTGTCTTCAATACAACAGCCAGCTAGCAAGCGAAGGCTAACAAAAGTATGGAAAACTACTGTACACTCATTTTTGTGAAATGGTTTGGATGTTTTCGAAATAGCATTGCGTTGGCACTTTGAATAATAGTCTGGAAACACCATGCATGGATTGTTCACATTCGTCTGTATTGATTCAGCAGGCCGATCAGTTTATGAAACTATTTGGCTACATGCAAACAAATGCATGCTGCCTGACCAGTAATATTACAGCTAACTATACTTGGGTGTAATTACAGAAAGAAATTATTTACACTTTTGATAATCATGAATAGTGTGGAAATATGGGAATTAATCGTAAGGGAGTTGTTTTATCAATCTCAATTTAAAATGAACTTCCGAGGGGAATTTTCAGAGTTATAAGAAAGTTAATTTTAAGTAATTATTTTTAATATGGCACAATTTTCTCCACTATGACCAGTTTTGTTTTATACCAACCATCCCTAGATAGAGAAATTTTTGGAAGTCTTTTTTTTATTTCCCCCTACCTTTACGTGTTAACCCAACAATTAAATTGCAATTATCAACTTCCAGAAACCTGCAAACATCCAATATGATACTTAAAACCCAGTGCCAATGTTAACCAGAAACACAGATGGCCTGGGTACAATTCATCTTTTTCAATTGCCTCTGGGAATAAATAAACCAGACAGGCATAATATACACTTGTTAATCCAGTCCACTCCAACAAGTCATGGGGAGACTTTTTATAGTGGTTAGACAGAGGGCATGAAGGTTGAAGTTTGCAATGACAAATCTTCTTTCCCTCCTTAGGTAAGCCAATTCACATGCAAAACCCTGCTGATGACAACCTAATATTGGCATATGCTAATAAAAAACCAAACACTAAGGCTCTGTTCTCACAACTTTTAGATCGATCTATCACCGCGGGGAGTCTCACTAGATTATTGTCAGATAATCACCCTTAAGTGTCCGTCCCCACCTACTACAAGCTTTAAGGGGTAATTAACTTTCGTGTCCGCCCGGCTGACAGCTATTTAGCGTGAACCCCCAGGGAGTTAGGTCGATCCAATGTAGGTCGATCTAATCTATGAGAATGGGGTGTTAGAAGCTCATTGAGGAAGAACTTTCAGTTAGCTCAGGAGATTATGATTAACAAGTGCCCAAACCTCAAGAAGCTAACAACAAATAAAGGCCATATGCACTAGGAAATCAGACAAGGAAATAGCAACAAATGAAATTATGCCTGGCTGCATGCGGCTCTTCATATCCATATAATGTAAACACCTTTCAAATTCTTCTCTAACTATTGCACAAGAAGGCTGAAGACACGATCAACTACATTTTTACCCCTATAGGTTGACCACTTGCATAATAAAATGCAACAACAATTAATTTCCCATTCCCTTACTTAGAACTAAGATCTAGAACATATATCTCAGGAGACCATGGTATTGTAAATGTAACAATCACATATTTGCAGGTTATCTGAATATGATCTCTAACCACAGAAGGCCACTCTAATCCCTAGAGCTGCTGTCCTGTCCTGCCATTATAATTTGAGGCACAGTGCTTCCTTTTGTAATGTAAGATTGGCTTCCTATCTAAGAAATCATAATCACATACAAGTACTATGCCATGATAGTACTACAGGACATACTAAATTGATAAATGAAGACCTGACCGAAAATCAGTCAAAATTAAAACCTTGATCAATTTTACTGGGTTAATTGTATTAATGCTTGGGAGTTAGTGCTAACCTGCAAACTGAATAATATAAATTCACAAAATATGACACAAATGGCCACATGTTTTAAGTAACCTCTGTTCAGCAGCACATGCATGTGTACAACCTGCAGCACCATAACTAATGATTTCAATTTCTTTGCAATTCTTTAATAACTTAAGAAACACCATATGTTGACTTTAAGGACCATGTTGGCTGGTGTTACCTGATACACAGACATTACGATTAATATTAGGAAGTTCAACAGAGTGCTCCTGGCTTTAAAGGGTAATAGCAATTGATTTATGACATACAACTTTGCTAAATGGATGTGATAAAAAATCATTGCACATCTAAAATGTAAAATTTGATAACCATGTTCACCAGTGATACTTATTTAAAATAAACAACATACAGCTACATACTAAATCATTTTTCAACTTTTCAGATACACTTTCAATTTTATTTCATACCTGTCCCAAACTATAAAATTCCAGGGATAATCAAATGCTACATATTGGATAAGACATCAATAATATGTCAGTTACATGTTCAGCAGGTACATGACCTTTAACATCTAAGGCTCTCCTGTCATCCCCCTTCTCCCAGAAAAGAAAGGACCTGGCCATTTTTCAATCCCTGTGCCCACATACTACAGTAAAATTGTTTACATTTTATATTTACCTAACGAAGCAAGGCAAGACTTTTAACCATGGCCCCTTCCTTAGCAAAATCCTTGATCCACTAGGGACTATAGTAGCACAAAATAAGGGTCATTCCACCAAAGAAATTTAACATTTGAGACAGGTTGTTAATGAACACATTTTGTGTAATGTTTGCTTAACTGTGTGCTATCATTTTTAAATTACTGTTGATTTCTATCCATATTGAAGGGTACTATATTATAAAACAATTAAAATAATGGGGGTAAGTCAAAATTATGTGTGCGTCACAGAGACTTTTTCGTGGGCTGACCCCACAACTGTCTGGCCCCTCACCTCAAATGCCCATGTGCACGGTATATTGACAAATCTCTGGACACATCTCCCGACTTCCACATCCTCATGTGTCGAATACAGGTTCTTTAAACAGTAGCTGATGTGTGGGATGAGTTTTCGCAGTGTTTCTTTACTAAACACAACCCCAGGTCCACCCATGCAGAAATTCTGACTGCCATCCAAACTGAGTTTTCCAAATTCTTCTTTAGTTCCCAATCCTGCCTGGCCAATAAATTGGGGCTTGGAGTTATTGATGGAATGTAGGAATTTTGAGAGACTATCTCCTTTAATGTATACGTCGTCGTCGGCTCGAACGAACCAGTCATACTTGTCTAAGTAATGGTCGTGCATGTATTTGATCATCATGAAAGATTTTTTCACAGGAGGATAGCTGTCATCTACGCCGGTTAAGCTCACAATGGGGATATCGTAATGACTATGTGATCCTGCGCTCGAGAAAAACGCCACTTCTCCCGGAATGGTCTTGGCCCAAGTTCTGTGTGCTGCGACTGCCCGCGAATCCAAATATTTTTTCGCCGTCATCACCCCGACAAAAATGGATTTTTTATAATTTTGTAGAGGCTTTTCGGTTTTAACTATGTATCTGATAGGCAGTTTATCGTTTTGCTTACCAGGCCCGTCCGTACAGCATCCGCGTAAGCAGGACGCCGCCTGGTGCCGCAGCGATGCCAAGAAGGCAAAGCCGACTAGCAGGCCAACGAGAAGGCCTATAGCGGCCTGGCGAATACTGCCGCCGTGCCGTTTGGGGCGGACCATCGTGTCAGATCATCTGCCCAATCTTCTTTCTATCGCACCCATATAATCATACCACCAGTCCGATGAAGCGAACCTCTCGCCTCAGCATCTCGGTTATACCATAGTTCACTTCACCCACATTTCGCCGGCGCTTTCTCTTTTGTCAACTAAACAAAAAGTTAGAAATTCGTTAATTTCACTCCAGTCCCCTCTTTCTCGCTTTATCCGACTAATATGAGCTTTAAATCCCTTCTTCCGGTGAGCATATTTAGCAAACGCTACGTTGATCTGAGAACTGTTTCACCTGTTGCTATCAGTGCGTGTACTCATAATCTCAACTGCATGTTGACTTTACGCTAGCCCGAGTTTATTATCAATGAACTGACCTACATGTGGGCTGAAAGGTGAAGGACGTTTTGTAAAATCACGTGGTTTAAGGCTGAAAGAAAATCTACTAAAATCATTCAAAATGTACACATCAAATACAATTTTGTCAGAAAAGTGATGGGCATTGTGTTTTAGTTATGGTTTTATCTAAAAACTGAAAAATAGCGAAGGTGTAAACAGCGAAGCAAACATGGCGACCATCATTTTGTTGCAGGGCAGTGTTGGATATGTTTGGCCCTCGTACTATAGTGTCTGAGAATATTTTGTCCTTGACCCACGGTCTGTCGTGCTATAACGCATTACGGACTGAATTGGTGCTTTTAACCACCTGATTGCAAAACTGTAGAGAAAGATAAGCTCTTTATTTCCCTGCTCCTGTCGGCGAGAAAATCCAATATGGCGGCGTCATCAAACGAAAGCGTGGAAAAGAAATTTCAAAATGTCACAAACCGGCAGGATAGTATCCAGTCTATGTCTCTGTGGATAATACACCATAAGAATCATTATAAGAAAATCGTGGACACGTGGTACAAAGTGCTCAAGAAAGGTAGGGAAAATTGGAACCATTTAACTTGTCTTTCCAAATTCAACCTCAAGGAGATCTGTGACAGTGAAGTGTTATTTCATTCAGGATTTGAGGTCTAGGTTTGATACACTTTTTCAGATCTAAAAAAGTTCTTTTAAACTATCTTGATATGTAATTAAGAAATCTTTGCAATTTAAAAGGTAGTCTGGTATGATAGTGCTATGTAAATCATGTATAGATTTTAAATTGCAAATGACTTATGCTTCTTCATTATAATACAGCCTGACAAAATAAGCCGAGATGTAAAATTAAAATGCATCTAACACTTTTATGTTATGTTTTAATCTTGTGTCCTTTTCAGCCAAAACTTCTCATCGTTTAACCCTGTTCTATTTGTGCAATGATGTTGTTCAAAATTGCAAGAGGAAAGGTGCTTTGGTCTATCAAGATGCATTTAAAAACATACTCAAAGATGCAGTATTGTTGGTCAGGTAATGTATAATAAATTGTTTGATGGGGATTAAAGGGAACACAGGGCATATGTCAGAGTAATATATCTGCTTTAATGGACAAAAAAATAGATTAAAGCTGTGTCCATATTGAAAATCAACAGATAGTTTACTGTCTGAGATTGCATAGGTACCCGAAAGGGATGGTTACAAATATGTGAATAACCAAATGTTTTGTTTTTGACTTAGTTTGTCCGTAAATTAATTCATTAAAGATGAGTTGAATGCTGAAAAAGATTTGCTTCTAAATGCTAGAATATGAAAATGTTAAAATAATGTGTATCATGAATGAAAATTATGAAACACAAGCTAAAATACTTTCATACCGTTAGCTTATGGCCAACCTGGACATAGGCCTTCATCAGACTAATGTGACCAGATTATGACAACCATTGACTGCTAGGTGGTAAAGTGGCCAGGGCCCTCTTATAAACATCCCTATTCATGGGTGGCTGGTGACAGCCAACAGATAGAGTCAGAAAAAAACAGCTAGTGATTCTCCCTTATTGTCAAGGAATTTCAGAGAACATGTGAAGGATCGAAAAAAAAGCAGTGTCAACACTGCTTTTAGACTCTAGTGCACACTAAAACAATCCCTAGTGGCACCAAAGAACTAGATCCCTCAAGAACAGTGTTGTGGGAATATGTATAGGAGTAACTGCCATGACCTTTTACATTGGTGAGACAGGTAGACAGTTGAAGACCAGGGTTGGTGAACACTGAAAGTCAGTGACTGTAGGGAATACCAGCTCTGCCATTTCTGAATATGTAATAACACCAGCCACAGTATTGACTGGAATTCAACCAAGATCCTTGAATCCGAAGGGGGGGGGGGGGGGGGGGGGTTGATCTGCCTGACATTTAAAAGAGGGTCCTGGCCGCTATACCACCTAGCCTTCAGTGAGTGTCACGACACCATCTGCTCACATCAGTTTGATGAAGGCCTACGTCCAGGTAGGATGTAAGCTAATGTGTGAAAGTTTTTTGGCTTATGTTTGATAATTTTCATTTATGATCCAACTACCAAGCTAATAAACATTTTTGCTCAAACTAATGTGAAATTCTTAAAGTTAAAATGTTTACCATTTTATCTGCAGGGAGCATTCTATCAAAGCACAGGTTGAACGTCTGATAACTATTTGGGAGGACAGGAATGTATATGATGCAGAGTTCCTGGCTGAACTGCAAGAACTGCTAGGTAAACTGCTAGGTTCTTTTAACTCCTTTTGAAAGAATTCTTATTGAATGCCATAATTCATACTAGATGTTCCAGTTGTATGACATTATGATCAGAGATGGTCAGAATGTGACTTATAATTGGGAAAAGATGGAAATGGACAGTCTGGAATTGTTTACATTATTAAGATAATGGAATTCTTAAAATATATGAAGTGAAAAATCAGATTTATTTGTTAAGCTACTAAAGGTGAACTTTTTGAATTGTTGTTAATGTTAAATGTTTATAGGTTTTGGTTGATGTCCATGGATGTTATTGTTCTGCACAAGTTGTCTGTATCATTTTATTTTTGAGTATTTCAAAATATAACACTAATTTTTTGAAGTTGTTATTTATGTATGAGCATGAGTGTGTACACAAATAATTACTAATTTATTAAGAAAAACAACAGCAAAAAGTTAATAAGAGATAAAGTAACGTAATACTTTATTTTTCATGAATAACTTGAATTTAAAATGCAAAACATTTTTTTTGTAGTCAATTCCAAGGTGAGGGCCTCCATGAATTCGAAACTATTAGCGGAATTCAAGGTATGTTGCATTTAATCAAGTTTGTACCCCAACAAAACCATTAATGATAATAAACTGGGGGAAAAAATGCCCAAAATCGACCTCTTTGTTGTCTGATGTAACTTTTTAAAATTTGGTACATTAAAAATTATTCAAATCCTGTGTTTGTTATGTACAGGATTGTTTGTTACTGAAAGAAAAATGTTTGTTGACATCAACTTAAATACATGTAAGAGGATAGATTGACTGCAAATCTCAGCAGTGGAACATCTGGGTCAATATGCTCCTCTTGCCTGCTTAGATGAGGGGATGCACAAATGTGGATGCAGTCATCCATAGTTAAATTGAGTTGTTGCCATTGGTAATTGAAATAATATGCAACATTTTCTTTGATGATTTAAAATGCTTATTGATAAGAAGCAAGGTTTGTTATGTAGTGTTGTATATTATATACCGCATCCATAGTCTGTATAATAAAATGTGGAATTGTTCCTTTCACAGCCCAAGTCTCTCATCAGTGCCATCAGCAGTTTTAGGAGGTATGAAGATGAGATCCTTTTAAAACGGAAACAGTTAACCAATCTACGTTTGGATGCAGCAAGTGCGGAAGCCATACAACAACTCAAAGGTGAGGAGTTTGATAATAAGTAGAGATTGAGTTTTACAACACTCAGAGAAATTTGTTTAAGGAGTGTGTTGAAGCTTCAGAGAAATTTTTTGTAAGAAGTGTATTGATTTTTTTTAACAGACATGTATTCCATGCACTAATTGGGTATGTTTGTATAGGTTTTTCTTCTGATGACTAGATCATTTGGAGTTGACAATTAATGTAAAGGTATTGGGGTGAAAACAGGCCCTGGACAATGTTATGGCACTGTTTATCCAGCCCATTGGGCACAGTGACTATTTTGTACATTAACTCAGGGGTCCAGTTGAATGTTAAAAATAACAGACAGCTCCCCTTCTAGCATCCTATCCTATCCTGTGGCATGGTTGACCGCAGAGCCCCACTTGAGGATTTAGAGACCAGCTCTCTCCGCTCCCATCTGTCTTCTGCTTTTCAGAGGATGCTGCTCATCTTCAGCTTGGACTCTTTTGTGATGATCTCCCATCTTATTTTCCATCTCCCTTGTCTTCTCCCTCCTTGTATTTTCCTTGCAAAATTGTTGTGGCAAGTCCTGTTGATCTTGTGATGTGCCCCTACCACTTCAGCTCGTGTTGCTTTGCGGTGGTGGAGAGATGTTTGTACTGCCCACTGGTTAGTCTGATCCTGCTCCTTAATTCCTCATTTGTAGCACAGTCTTTGTAGGAGATGTCAAGTTTTCTTTGGAAGCATCTCATCTCTACAGCTTGTATACTTTTACACCTTCTACCATGCATGAGCAACTGGATGTGTAAACATTTTAGGCTGCAAAACCGTGGATATTCCCAGACCAGGGAAACTAACATCATTTTTCTTTTCAACTACCTAAATGCCTTAGCTAAGTAGAGTAACTAATTTCTCTACTTCTGTATCAGGGGACTTACCTGAAACATAAACTATAGTAGTTGGGTATCTCAACATCTTTCCAAGGCCATTGACTGTTATGGCTACAAACCAAAATAGAGAGGAGTCTTCACTGTTGCATTTAAACTGGGTATAAATATCTTAACATTGATTTTTTTCCTTTTTCAGACCGTGCACATGGGAAAGAGTTTTCTCAGCAGTTTGAAGATAGCTGTGTTAAATATGAAGAGTATGTGACATGTCTAGAGAAGGAAATTAAAGACAGGACAGCACTGATAGAGTGTTTGGAGAAGAGTGAGATATTTTATGATGCACAGTATGGGGAGGTGAAAATAGTGGCCAACGTGAGTATCATTTGTTAAATAGAAAGTTTTCTGCTTAGAAATGTGGTGTACCTTTTTGAAAGGGTACTGTGACCATACTGTTAACGTGAAGTAGTGAAAAAAATATAGAAACAGATAACATTATTGCAAAGTCATACAAATAAATAAATAAATAAGGTTAGATATGTATTATTATAATAATAAGAATTAAGTATGAAAGAAAGAAAAGTCTATTTATGCTTCTGCAAGGGATCTGAACTCCCAAGAAGGAGGCACATTGACTTAATTGATAATTCTGGTCTTTTTTCTCTTTTACACACAGTACACTTAAAATAATATGTGAAGCAAGTAACTACACATCTTGGTTTCTTTGTCCCACATGTACCCATGAAATATAACATGAGTGCTGACCTTACTTATGTACTGATTTGGTGAGTCTTGAAATGCACACTAAATCGGCAGAATTGGGGTAAGTAACATGAGCACATATGGGACTAAGAAAGCCAGGAAATGTAGTTATGTGGTTCAAATATTAATTTGAGGGTACTGTGTGTGAAAAAAGATAAAATCTCAGGGGTATCAGTGAACTCGACATACTTCATCTTGGGAGTTCAACCCCTTTGTTCTGGTTTGATTTATTTATATTGGTAACTGTCCTCATTGTCAAATTCAAAGAATACTTGACCTCAAAAAGTAAGTATCAGTGTTCTGGTATATTACATTCTCTCAGTATGTTCTGGTAATGTAATCTCTCTTTTTCTGACAGGCCTACAAGAACTTTTCCACCAGAGTTAACAATGTAAAGAAAAAATTGGCAGACAAGAAGCTCCTGCTTCCAGGCTCCATGAGCCCGGTCCCATCTCCCAGCATGGACGCCCCCTCCCCAGGGAACACTCCCCCACCTGATCCTTCCAAAGACAACACGGAGGAGGTGGACATGGAGCTGTCTGATGAGGAACTGGATGCTGGGAAGATTGTAGGCAAGTGCAGTGTTTGATTGGAATTGGATGCCACTATGTAAACTATACTGTATTTGGGTTCACTGTAGAATAGGAAAATTAAATAAAGTTGTTTCATATATTTTTGTGGTTGTGGAAAATGAAAAAAATGTTCTTTTTATTTTCTAAATTTGTCACTGATTTTTCAAAAAAAAAATTATTTGGTATTATTTAGAATTATTTAGCAGTGCAAGTTGTAAACTGTCTTAAGAAATGACAATTCTTTTTCTTTTAAGAATGTATGATTTAAGAAAACTTCTTCACAATTAAGAACTTTTTTAAATTTATTGCAATTGTTTTTATGTAACAGCTGCAGAACCTCTGAAAGTGAGCACTTCCAGCAAACCATTGCCAGTGCCAATACCCAATTTCTTAGAACTAAGAAAGAAGGTGCAAAGACAAAGTAAGTAATCTGCTTTTTCAGTGATCTGCATTTGTAAAAAAATTAGTGAGATTTCTGTAAAGTTGATGATTAGATTATTTGTTAATATCCCAGTAGGCCATTTTCACATTGATGGTATAGCTGTAATAGAATTTTGATTGAAATGATGTCTAGTCTCATGATTAATAATAAATAGTTTGCAGGCTGGTTATGTAAGCTTTCTGGCACAGACTGATGACTTTGGCCTCGTGTGTTTCCAGATTACACAATTAATTTACCAGCAATAAAATATCAGAAACAGTTTGGGGCATAGAATAGCTATGGGTCCATCTTGCTTTGCTATGAATACTTGTAGATAACTTCTAGATAAATCACTGGAGGCATTATCATACTGCCATTCTTGTGAAATTTTACTTTTTCTGATTACACTTTTGTTTATATGCTGCTTTCAAACTTAATGTTGTTATTTTTCTATTTTATTTCTCTTTTCTGTTTTCTGTATTGATTTCTTGTTCTACAATTTTAGAAGAGCAGAGACTGAAATCAGAGACAGCCAGTACAGCACCGATTCAGCAACCCACAGCAGCTAAACCTAGTGAGTAGTGAGCAGCATACAAAACTGAATTAATAAGAGATTGGGTGAATTGCATTAAAGGCATTAATTTTGGCATTTGCACTTCTATTTAAAAAACAATCAGAGGAGGTTGAAACAAGTTTAAAGGTACAGTTAAAATGGTACTTAATCGTTATTTATTATTGAAAGTATCATATGTTTATGTATGTAATGTTTCTACTTAATTTGTGTCAAATGTCTTAGACATAGTGACACATTAAAGTGCAACAAATTCTTATTCAACATTTGTATAATGTGTTTGTGAGAGCTAAATGATTTGTTTAAAAATTGCCACATCTGAAATTTCACAATTAAGGATTTTTTTATGATGTCTTGCTTTAAAGATAAATGAAGATCTTTATCAGACAAATTGTTCAGTTTGGTTCAGCTAGAAGAACTAATGCCTTATGTTTTGAACTCCAGGTGGAGCATTAGACAATAGAATTGCTGGCATTGGAGGAGATAATTTTATCCCCGCACTGTCTGTGGCTCAGTCAGTACCAGCAGTGACTCTAAATGGCTCCCAGAGGCCAATCAACAACAACACCACCACCAACAGCAAAGGAGAAGATGGAGGTGGCACTCCACTGAAGGATGAAGGGAGTTCAACTCCTGTACAAGATGAAGATGCTGATAGTAAATCTGCCAAAGGACTCACTAATCCTATAGAATTTCTCACAAAGCTAATCAATCAGTCACAGAAGTCCGGGAAGACAAATGCAGCAAGTTTTATGCAGAACCTGTCTCTGCTTACTCAGAACATACAAGCCAAAGTGGAGCCAACTGCTGGTGGGCAGCCCAAAGGAGAAGAGAGTAATTCTAGTACCGAGGACTTTTCTGGGCCCAGTTCATGGCCCTGGGAGGCTAAGCAGCAGCAAGTGCCACCTCCTGCGTCTGTACCAGGGCTCTCAGTGTCTGCACCTGGGAATGTTCTACTGCAGAATACAGCTGTCACACCCCCTGGAGCTCAGATTACTTCAACAGCTCGACCTTTTCCAGGACCTGGACCCCAAGGTGTCAGTCAACCCCCTCCTATGCCTATGGGAGGCCCTATCCCTTCTGTTGGTCATAATAATCCACCACCTACAAGTTTTCCTTCTCACATGCCCCCAAATTCTGCTCCTATTCAGCCTCGTGGACAGCCAGCTTTTAGCACACCGCCTAATTTCCAACAGCCACCACGTCAACCTCCTCCTCCTCAAGGGGGGTTTCAAGGGGCTCCCCGCTTTCAGCCTCAGCAACCTCCTCCTCAACGGCAACAGCAGCAGCAGCCCCCACCGCTGCAGCAGCCCCCCTTACGCCCCCTCTCCATGCCACCCTCTGGACCCTTGCCCATGTTCCAAAATCAGCAGTCCACATCTCCTGTAATCCCAGGTTTTGATTTCACCCAACCGCCACCACCTTTTCAGCCCACATCACCTCAGGTATCTGGGCCTTCCCGTTTCCCCCCTCCGCAGCAGCAACAGCAGCAGCAACAACAACAGCAACAGCAGATGTTCGGAGGTCCACCCCCTGCTGGTCCCCCAGTGCCCTCCTTGCAGCAGCCTCAGGCACCCCCTCCCCAGCCCCCAGGTGGTAATATTACCCGGAGCTCCAGTCTGGTTGTTATATCACCTACCGAGTCTGCCCCTGTGTCTTCGAATGTCCTCATGTCGCCGTCACGGGATTTCTCATGGCCAGGGCCAGAATCTACTCCTGTCAATTCTACTTCACCCTCCTGGCTGACTTCCTCTTCGGCTCCACCCCAAAACGTACCCCCTCCGCTAGGTGTACCCCCACCCCAGCCCCCCAACCACCCCCCAACAATGCCCCCTAAAAGGGATCCCATCTCCGAAGAGCAAAATGAATTTATTGAAAAGCTGAAAAGGAAAACGACGCCAACTCTTCTGACAGGTGCAGCTGAGAATCCACTTGCTAAGGCAATAAAAGCGTTACTGAAGACGCCGTCTGACAAATCTGAACACAATAATACAGATTCGTCAAAGGACGTTAAAAAGAGAAACAGTGTTGACTCTGATCACAGTTCTAAAGGTAGTGACGAAAATGACAAAGACCGCTCCTCGAAGCGGCGGAAGAGCAGCACGGAAAACGAGCACAAATCGCGATCTCGATCAAAATCTCCCAAAGGAGAACCGATTCAAACACTAAGCAAAGGACCACAGTCGGTGGTGAAAAGAGTAGATTCGTCCGACTCTAACAGAGATAGAGACTCGCCTCCAAGAAGAATAGAGTCGACGGTGAGGCGGACGACAGATCACGACAAAGACCGGGATAGGGAACGGGATCGGAGACTTCCGCCGAGGGATCCTTATCACGACAGACGGGACCCTTACTACGATCGCCGTCTACCGCCTCCCCCGGACCCATACTACAGAGAACTGTATTATGAACGCATGCGACATTTCTATCCGCCGCCTGCGATGAGAGACCCCTACAGGGACAGGAGGGCTTATTATCCTCCCAGACATTAGATGACTTCTTCATTAAGTGCAACCCCTGAAAGGGTTGCTTCACGCGGGTTCTTTTTTTATTGAGGTATAAAATGAAGTAATTTTTTTATGGTTATGATGATTATTTTACATTTATCAAATCTTGCTAAAGACGTGCAAGGCGAATTGTTAATGTTAATTGAAAAATGAATTTCAAGTGATTCGTATGGAATGTGATCAGCTAAAAGGGTTATTGTGACACTACCGAGTATTTTAAAAAGATAACTCGCTATACGAATTGGATGTTTATTCATGACATGTATAATGTGATTGACAACAAACGTGCAAGTGTTGGTGGACGGGAGGTTATCTTCAAACTATTTTGGGGATTTTTCGATTTCAAATCGTCGTAAATGGACAAACGTTGCTCTTGTATGTTCTGAACTATTAAAACGCATTCAATGATTGTGACCTGTTTGTAAGATAAATGTTTAAATTAGAACTTGGGTCTAGGAGGCCACATGCAGCATGGCTTCTGTAATTATACTGTAAATTAGAATAAAATACAAATTCAAAGGAATTTCACTCGTTTTATTTGACTTTGCCATTGCCCTTTGTCGGTTTTGTATTTTCCTAAGGCTGATAACTGGAGGGCGAATTGTATACAAATATGCCATGTTCCAAAATAAATATTTTAACAATCACCTATTAACCCTTAAGGTGCTTGTGCAGTTTAAGCATAATGTTGTCCTAATCCTCGTATTGAAACTGCTGTTTATCTGCAAGAAATTTATACATTTTGTTCAATACAATGTTTAACTAAAGTAACCTAGTGACTAGAAAGGCTACTTTATCTGACGCACTGCTGTCAAGTGGGTCGTGAGAATTCTATAGCGATATAGCTACATCCATAGCGTCGCTTAACTATAATGTTTGATTAGAAATAATATATTGCCTTAATGTGTTTGTAAAAATATACTTTTAGAAACTTACGCCACTAGAAGATGGCCATTTTTGCATTTCTTCACATATGCTTTTTTTTCAATAATGTTTACTATGCTAATTTTGATTTAAAATTACACGACTCCTTAAACTAAATAACACAGCGTGTTTCAATTGTGGAAACGAGCGACCGAGAGTCCTGCCGGGTGATTTGATAGTACATATAAGACGAAATAATTTTTTCACATATCACTTGAATGTTAACTTCAGACATCCTATGAATTTATCAATGTGCAAATGAATATTACCCGTGTTTGTACGTCATGGTTTCAGTAGCTCTTAATAATTCTGGTGTGCCCTGAACAGCGTTAATGAAAATAGCAAAAAATAATCTTGTTGCTAGCTTCGAGACGCAATCATGTTTTCGCTATTCTTATATTACATGAAATCGTGTCTAACATAGGTCTGTCAAAAATATAGCAAGACAGATGAAAGGGCTTCATATCATCGTCACCACTGTGTTTTATGTACGAATATGTTTTCTAACACGAAAAGAACTTGGTCAAATTTCCCTTTTGAAAATGCGCAGTGTATACTGAAAGATTTTCGTGTGGCAGTCGTAGTTAAAGTTATGCGGTTTTAGTCTCACCGGGTAGTTGGTATGTTTTTGGTAATGTTCTCTCTTTTGTACGACTGAAGGTTGTATATATTGTCCGAATTATCTGTATACAACTTAATAGAACACCCAGAAAATCTTGCCAAATATACACGCAGAAACTCGGCTTGGTGAACGTCAAATAACGTCTGCGGTGTACTTCCATCAACTTTGACTCTTAAATACCCAATAGCCAATGATATCACAGTCGAATTGTCCAACATAAAAGAACCAGGTTTATGACATATAAATGTCTTCACCTTGATTGGGCGTTCTCACGCAGAGACTTCGACCCTCTGTTTCATTGCGCGTCTTCCCAGAATCGGAGTGGACCTCATGAGATGTGGATGTTTGTAGACGCTGGTCTGTGTCTCCCTCAGTGATGTCGCGTGCGTTTTCCCGGACAGTCTCTTCATCAGCTCTCCGTGCTGTTCGGGTGTCAACTGCTTATACCCGTAAAGTTTTTCTCTTTGATTTTGGCTGTAGTCAGAATTTACACTGGAGGCTGTAGAACTCCGCGACCTGCTTGAATCCCGGTAACTTCCACGTCTTTGAAGACGCTGTGTGATGGCGTCAGCGTCCTCCCTGGAGACGATTCTGAACGCCGGGGCTGGAGGCATCGCCTTTGGAGAATATATTTCTCTAGATGCCAGTAAGATATTCCGTCGAAGAAGTTTATTTTCCTTGTCTATTCTCAGCATATCAAAATTTGGGTAGTCCCCGGAGTTCCTCCACTGCATGATCACTGGACTACCGAAGTGGGTGTATTTTATGTCCCATTTGAGCGCCTTGTTGTACGTAGTACTGAAAGACATTTTTGTAGAGTGCTAGTCTCTTGCCACAGTTTCTCTTTCTCGACACGTATATATTATGGCTTACAGCGAGACGTTTGTTCCACCCCTTTTCCACAAATATCTTCGCTTCTTGATAAATCACAAATCCGTATTAGTTGTGTTATGTATTTGTCGAATTTTTTACTCTCTAAAAGTATATTTGAGATGCCCTATGACACTGGACGCGAGGCATCCATTCCATTCATATTCTGGTTACTGCTGTCACCGTGTGTTCTCTCTCGTAGTTGTATTCTAAATAAACACCGGACGTATATATAGGTAATATCTTAAATCTGTCAGGCAACTAAAACACCCCTGGATCGATGTGGTCGCTAGCGACCGCGAGGTAAGACATTCTCTTTTTGACCCGCCTGAATCAAAGGTCAAAAGCGTGAAAAGACGATCAATTAACCGATTCAGGGAGCACCGACAAAAGCCAGAGGGAAATTGAAATGTAAATACAAGCGTTTGTACAAAACATCGTAAACACTCGTACAATATCTCAATGGCTGAAAGGCAGGTGCATAATGCCATCTGTTTACTTCGAACTATGTTCGAACTGTTGTTGATCGGTTTGCACCTAAATGCGAGGTAAAGAAGTCGCAGGGTATGTAATCAGACGCAAGGTTATTAAAAACAAGTGTGGTCAAAACTTTTAATTTTCTTCTGTAGAAATTACCTTTTTGATAACCTGACTGATCTTGAAATTCAAGAACATTTAATGCACTGTTAAGGGATAACCAAGGCCTTTACGCATACAATGAACATAAATTCGAATACCCCAAAGAATACAATACTGATGTTTGTATACAGACCTCCCCAACCCCGCTGTCCTCTTGAAGACAAATCTTAATTTTGGTTGGAAAGGACCGATTTAAAATCTGTCAACGTAATCATATAAATGGTGTTTATCAAGGATCATCGACAGTGATCTTTCATTTTCTCTCCCCCTGGATGTCTTTTTGCTAATCAAACAATGAAGGAAAGGGTAATAATGGTAACAGTTGAATAGCCCAACAAAATTTTATTCCTTTCGACATTGAGTTTTTCTCTTTCTTGTTTTTAACATTAAAAAATCTTGTTTACTTTTCATTGATTATCGGCACTAGCAACAGTGTTTACTTAGTTGCAGATTTATTAGTGCGGTATTGGCGATCGTTGTATGAGCTCAATGGTAATCGGTGTGATTTATCAGGTACTGCGTTTTTTCTTTAAGCAATATGTAAACGCGCTAGTCAACAAAATCACTCCCCAAACACAGACGCATTCGTCAAACCGTGGAAGATTTCTCAAGTATAGATGAATGTCTTGGAACGTTTTATCAGTTATTTGACGCGCGTCATCACATCTTCACCAGGGCAGTAATAAATCACCTTTTAATATTATTTGGAATTTTATAAATTGTTATGAAAATCAATTTATATCCATTGCTGATCATCTAAAAGAATGCATAAAAGTTATCACCAGGGTTCGTCTTAGTGTCGTTTTCCCAAAAGACGACCGAGGATTTTCCTGCTAATGTAACCCCACAGATGTATTTTTATTACGCCTATACAAAACTGACGTCTTTACTTTCTGTTAACATCAACTGAAATAAAACACATGTCAATATATTCATTTATTAAAATAAATGATTTAAATTAATAATGCTCTTGAAAATATCCCGGTAAAGATGGATAGATACTATAATATTGTGCTAAAATTCGAAATCAAATTAACAACTTGAAGTAAAATTAGGGTCACCCTATTTAAATATAACAACCATAACATGCAGTCTAAAACCTTTTTATAATATATTGTCAGGAAAACTCTAGATGTATTTCTATGTACCTGACCAGATTTTCACAGTTTAAAATGTTGCATAGAATAAACCACATGTATATGTGCGACACAGCAATACCCGTCACTTATATAATATAAATAATAATTAATAAGGATAAAATTGCATATACTATTTACTATCATAATGGACGTTTTTTGCTCTCGTCAACAGTCTTGTCTCTTATTAACCAGTAGTCTTCTGTCTGCATCTCTGTTAGCCTGGATATGGTCCTCTCAAACGCAAACAACTCTTCTTCTCCTGTAAATATGCTGGCTTTGGTCTCCTCACCTGAATTCTGGTAAAAAAAGAGAAAACGATGTCAACTTTTCACTATTTAAAAATCATTACAAAACACTCATTCCAACAACGTCTGTATATAACTTTTAATTATGTGAAGGAATATACATGGATTTAAGAATATTTAAACAAATCTCTTTCAAAACTAACACCATCCCTGAGCATATTCTCCTCAAGTTCAACCAACTGCTACAAAAGAAGTGGTTTATTACAATATATTATCCTTACTGCATTGATGCCCAGATCATCCATCAGAGCTCTGTTCTGTTCAATGATGTCCTGGGTGCTGAGTTTCTCTGCAGCAAACAGTTCTTTAGGAGGAGCCTCAGCTGAGCACACTAGTCTTACCTATAACACAACATCACTACTTTTAAGTCTCAAATAAAACAGACAAGTCTCATTACTACCTTTATAAACAAAGGAGGGGGGTCTGTTAGCAAATTTCTTTTCTCTCTCTTTTAATTCACTGAAATCCAGATTTGTTCCTTAGGCTTAGTTCACATGAAAAATCTATTTTCTAAAAATCTATTTTCTATTCGCGGTATCTTGTGATCACGGTCTGTGCCCTGAATACCCTGCGGCGTAATTACTGGCAGCGCGAGCCAGTTACTTCCAAAGCTGTAATTAATTCTCGGCTGCACTCAGAGTGATCACAAGATACCACAAACAGAAAATAGATTTTTAGAAAATAGATTTTTCATGTGAACGGAGTCTTAATCTGATATATATATGTGTCATTTTCCTGTAAATATTTACAAACTCTGTTAGCCAAATAGTGACACTGCATCATAGGTCACATTTCCACTGAAACTATCAGTCTACATAGATCAATCCAACTGTGTGGGGAATCAGTTTAACAGGCTTTGAGTAGAATACAAAAAAGCTGGTGATAATACAGGTAAGCTGGAAACAAGAGGATACATGTTAATTTGTTTAACTGATTGTACTTAGCGAGAGTCCCCAAAGAGTTGGATCAACCCATAGTTTCAATGGGAATGAGCTCATGCAGCTAAAGGAGATGATACTAAACCAAACAGGCAATTTCTGAGATGGGAGCAAGTTAACAGGTTGTTGACAATTTTTGAGAAGTGTTCCAGTGGAATCAAAGCCAAATTTGAAATTGTTAATGCTCCAGGTGTGTGCAGCATACTAGTTTAGTATGCAAAAGTCTACAGGTGTGCAGGTTAAACAGATAGTGCAGGGGTAAAACAATATATGAAGGGATAACACGTTTATGACTGGGAGTATGCAAAGTAAAAAATTCTCTTACATCTATAATAATATATCTCAATTGCATGTTTATTATACCTTCTATTCAAATATCACTGTCAATTTTCATTTAGCCTCATTTATATTTTAAAAAATCCTTATGGACCACACATCAATCAGTACCAAAGCTTCAATGTGAAATACCAAACAAACTATAATATAAATACAGATCTCGTATACAGAGTTAGTTTTCACATCCATACTAAATACATATATATATATACAAACCTTATTGTCATAGAATGTATCAATCATTGTAATAAACCTTCTGGCAGCAGTCTTGTTACTCAGTGATAGTATAGGGATGTTTTTAACAAACACAGTGTCGAATTCTTTACTCATCTCTAGATAGTCCACAGCACCAAGAGGCTGAAATGCACAACAAAATACATAAGTTTTTTAATTTGAATAACTGTAATTCTTGCAGGACAACTATATATATATATCATGAAAAGTTAGGAAAAAACGGATCTATCATGTCTCAAAAATTAATTAAAACAACCACAGCAACAAAGCTTTTATAGAGCATCTAAAATTAGTTATAAACGTTTTCAGTAATCAGGCAAACAGTAATAAAAAAGCAAAACCTTTGAATAGCAGCATAACAACAAAATTAAATGACACTGCTACTTTTACACATTACCCTTTCACATAGTTCTTCAAAAGTACAGTCTACAACAGCTCCACAAGCTCTAGGTAATACTAACTGTCTTCCAAACACCAAAAGAGACCTTGGACGCAGAACTGAGGGGAAAATAAACATTGAGCATACATAAATTGAATTCCTAAAAAATGTTACACTGAAAAGAAATAATGTTGGTGTGTTTTTTGGTTAACCTCTCAAAAAGAGAGATCTTTTTGAATGTGTATACCTAACATAACTCACATCTCTATCTGCACTAGATTTATCAATAAGTTTTCTTCAAAATCTGATATAAACCTTTCCACAAGTTTAAGTCGTTGCAGTAGGCAACTAGCCAAAGTGGAAATGGTATTTTTTTTCTCTTTGAGTAATAGAATTTAAAATGGAAAAATCTATACAAATGGGTTATAATGTCAAAACTCTTAACAACAACTAAGGAATTGCACAGAGTTGAAAAAGCCATAAATAAACTGTGCAACACTCAAATATATGAATTTCTTTACTACATTTCAGAGAATATTGGTCATGTTGGGCAAGTGGAAGGCTAATCTGGAATTATACACTTCACTGTTTGGCCAATATATGATCTTTAACATAGAAACTTACCATCATCTTCCTCTCCAATCAAAGTTTGAAAGATGTTATCAATTTGCTCTTCTGTATCTTTGTCAGATGTTCTGAAAAGTGTATATGGGGCAAATTAATTGCAATGATCTTCACTTGATCCAGATAAAATATCTTATGGATCAAAAGTCTATTAATTCAACTGAAAAACAACAATCTTGTGCTGTAGTAATTTGATGTCACAAACACATGGTTAAGAAAGTTCAGGAAATACTAAATAAATTATCCTACTACACTGACTACTCCCTCCCCACCCCCAACATGGGAAGAAAGAGAGAAAGAAAACTGGAGTTTTTGTTATCCACTTACGAATGTTAATCTTAGGGACCATTCCCAGGCCCTATCATACTAACTGTGAATCAATCTATCTCTGAGGGGATTCTCGCTAATTTGCAATCAAATTAAGTGGCTTAGATGTCTGTTACGCCTACTGAAGCTGCTTGGTGGTAATTAATTATCGTTTAGCAGCTTCAGTAGGCGTGCTAAACATCTAAGCCACTTAAGCTGAAAGCAATTTAGCGAGAAACCCCTCAGAGATGAATCGATCCTGTTAGATCGATCTAGATATGGGAACCCAGTCATAAACCAGAATTGTGGTTACTTACAGAAAATATACCTTGCCCTCTGCAGGCATGGCTTGCTGTCTGTAATCTAAGCCAGAGTCCAGGCAGAGCACAGAACAGTGTTTCTGAAACAGACCAACATGAAGTGTAAAAAAAGAAGGTCATGTTATTATATGTATCAACATACTCTATCATCTACAGCATAAACCTCGTAAAAAAAATATATATAAATTTTTACATAGTACTAAAACTGTAAAGAGATTTACTTAAAAAGACTAAACTTTAACTGTATACCATTTTTATGATAAGGAAAAGCCTGTCTTGTGTCGCATATAATAACCTGCAAGCTTCATCATGTACTCTTACTACTTGTTAAACATACCTTAAGTTCACCAATAAAAGGAACAAAATTTCCCCTCTGAAGGCCATTTTTGTATAAATCTGAAATTGCAAATATTCATGTCTTGTTCTTTGGCTGTAAGATATTTATTGGAAAAACAACCCATGATGTTATATAAAAGTCATACCACTTCTCAACAATAAATTAAGATATTTGCACACTTTTCAACATGCACACAAATAAGCAAATACTTACTGTATTCTTTTCTTAGTAAATAAAATTACACAAATGAATCTACATTACTGAATACTATTAAACCTGTCACTTATTGATATAACTCTAAAACATCCCCACCTACCATCTGGGTGTCTGTTTGAGGTGGCTACCACAACTACTCCACTTTCAAACATCACTGTAAACAATCTTCTAAGTATCATGGCATCTGCTATGTCTGTGACCTGAAGAAGTTGCAGTTCCACACTGACATACTTTCTATTAACTGAACCTGTATCTATTTTTATTTATTTATTTATTTATTTATTTATTTATTTATTTATTTATTTATTTATTTATTTTGTCTGGCAGTAGGAAGTTGACATACATTTAATAGAAAAAATCATTTTGTGTTAAAAGTACTGAAAATTATATCCATTTTTATCTAAATATAATATGCCAGGAATATAATCTTATTCAAGTAAATAACATATGGTGTCAACTTTAAAAACCCTTCTTTTTTGATTTAGTTCTAACAAACAATAAGAAATAAACCTGAAATTCATCAAAACAGAGTAACCAGGCTTCGCTTGAAATTTCCTTGGCAACTGGAAGGATGGGGTCGTAGAGTTCTTTGTGGTTGCGATCTTTTGGCATGGAAGACTTAAATGCATGAATACCTGCAAGTGGGAAAATAAATTCTATTCAATGAAGAGGAAAAAATATTTTGCTTTGTGAATGAAATTCAACATAACATTTTTTTCTACTCAACACACTGATTAGACATTTATATCATTTCTATAAACATATGAATCTGATTATGCATATTATGATTATTTTATCAAAATGCACAATGTGACAAAATAGAAATATAACTGAACTCTTGGCCTGCTGGTCTAAAATACTGAAATAAAGAACCTGAATTTATATCTTTTGTAACCCTTTGCAGTAAGAATATTTCTACAGAATATGTGGGGTCAATATTTCTTTTCACTTATCTGACATAAGATGCAATAATATTTAGAACCAATAATTTATCAACATGACCAATTACGTGTATACATTCCACATCATTTCAAAGTACAATTAAGGCAGTGTCCTCATGCTACACTGCACAACAACGCACATTAATGTCTTTTTGCAGCACATTGTGTCATGCATCTAGTGCTAGCGAGATAGCAATATAAATTTAATTTAAATCAAGTTGCCATAGCAACAAAACTTGCGTGGTTATCCATCATTTTTTTTTTCTAATATGTCTGCCACATGTACTGAAGACCACGTGTAGGAGATATAAACTTTGAACTTAATTCAGCTATGAAGAAAATTAAAAATATATGCAAAAACAATAAATTTACATTAGGGTTGTATGGTAAATGAACCCAAAGTTCAAATTACTATAACAACAAAACTAACAAGGATACCTATCAATTTTTAAACCTTAATATGGATGCAATAGTGTCACCTATGCAAGTAAAAGAATTTAACAAAAATCTATCAGACAGAAATATCAAAAGGACATTACTTAAAGCTTTTAACTATCAGTTAATTAAAACGAGAATTACTTACGTTTGTGGACATCTAACATGAAAGAATGAAAGTGTACTCTTTTCTTCTTTTCTAATTCACACTCTGCGTGAAACAGGTCCATCAGCATCGTCTTACCACAGCCTAAAGAAATAATATTACTGGTATGAAAACTAATAAATAAATAAATTAATTAATTAATAAATAAATAAATAAACTAGAGGATCAGAGAGGCGATACCCCCTCCGAATATTGTACCACCAGCTGGAGCAAGCGCATTCGTATAGACCCCCACATACACAAAATAAGGGACACAGCCACCAGTTTTGTGCTTCACAAGCTGTAAAAATGCAATCAACAAGAAATTTTANGGCGGAGCCGGCGGAACGATCCGGACGGGACCGAAACCATGTGTACCGCCAGCGCTAACGCTGGTGGTACAATAAACTGGCTCAAAAATGATGAAATTTTATCATGTACAAAAACCTGGTATACCTCAAATTTTATGAAAAATAATCTTTATGAAGAAAAGACCAATTTCTATTTAAGGGGAGAGCATATGAGACTTTCATTACCTTCAACATACATCTCCTTTTAATATGACAATTAATGTTCATCCCACTTCAGTCCAGTGAAGAGAAAAAAGTTTGCTGCCTATACTGTCCTTTAAATATCTGATCAAATAACTTATAACAAAGTCTGTAGAATGTTACTATTCATTTTAGTTCAAGGATTACTATAACTTTAGGATATGTATAGCTTTCTCCAAACATCAAGATCAGCATAACAAAAATTTAGCCATATTTAACTAGGCTAAAATTTCGCCATACAAATGTGACCCCAGTCAGAGTATTTCCATATATATCTTACCAACACTTCCATGTAGATATAATCCTTTTGGAGCATCTACTTTGTGTTCTTTTCCAAATAACTGGAAAAAGTGGAAGAATAAAAACAGATTATGCTACATGAGCTTAATCAAATATATGAAAAAAAAAACAATTGCTCAATTTGCTGTCCAACTGGCTTTATAAAATATTTATCAAGGAGAGACTAAAATGTTACAATTTTCAGAACTTACATGAATACTAGTACGTTGATTGACCATGATATATTTCACAAATTAAGAGCTCACCACATGGTATGCTGTTACACCAACATATGAAACACAAACACACATGTACATGTACACACACAAAAACAAACCTGTTTACAACCTGCAACACTACCATTAAAATGAAAAATAATCTCTGTGCAGTTAGGCAAAACTCACTTTACTGAAAAACCCTGGTTCGACTGGTTGATATCCTTGTAATCTTGTATATAAAGACTGTAATTCCTTCACAATCTTCCTCTGATAACTGTCTTCATTAAGTTTGCCTTGTTGCACCCTGTGGTCGTAAGCCAAGAGAGGTCCCTGGGCACTGTGGTCGATGCCTGGGCCCTGTGAGTGTCCATCTATTACTGACTGACCAAGTGTAGACTGTGTAACATAAGTTTTACCTGGAAAACAAATATGCACATCATCATGATACATCCTTAGAAATGACAGAAATTGGATTTGTTTTAAAACTGCTTTACTGCATAGCATCATGATGCTTGGTAGACTGAAAACACTGAAAACGTGAGAATGGTAACATCAATTTCATAAAACATTATATATGAAGATTGAGTGTTAAGGGTACTGGGTATATAATATGTAAAAGATCACCGTTAATATTAGGTAGCAGAAAGAGACAAATCATACAGTGGCGACTGTGAAGTGTATATTATGTAATATTAATTGTTAAAACAAGCAGACGCCACGTTTGGTTCTGTTACGAAACTTGAAAAAAATTACATCAATGACAAACGTCGTATATAATGGCACCTATAAATAACTTACCTTGTTTAGAGAAGAGTGAAATAGGAAGAATGGTTTTGCTTCTTGCATTTAGTCGTAACTTTCGACAAAGTCTACAGTGAACCAATACGTTGGCCATAATTCCATCCTCTTTGTGTTGTGTACGTCATCGTTTCTTGTGCACTTTGGAAAACTCCACGCATAAGCCTCTTTCTCGTTCATACTGCCCAAATACGAAAAGTGAAATCATGAGATTTAGCCATGGTAAAGCTGGGATTACAATATATTTTGTTTGATTTTTTATTTGGTGATTGGATCGATTTTAAAAATTATTCCAATGTGTAAATACACAAAAATGTATTGAAAAAAATATTCTGAGGTCCTCATTAGTTTTCTAACTCTATCAGAAACTGGTAGTCCTACACTTCCAAGCAGCATAAAGAGACCTTTTTTTCGTTACTCAACTTGATAAGAGAAACATTACCTGCATTCTTAATATTTCATTTTTCGCCCGCAATTGCAGGAAATCGACAGGAAAAATTGGGATGATCAAAGACAATATTCAAATTAAAAAAGAATTATATAAAAGTAAAGGATTTTGTGTTGATAACTGGGTATTTATTAGAAAGAAATATTTGCCTCTGACCTATTTTACAGGAATTTCAGTAAAATAATTAACAATATGAAAGAAGTATACTTAATTTAATCTTAAATGTGTAAAATAAAATTCCTTCAAGGAAAAGTTGACACATTTTGATTTTTTCTTATCATATAGGCCCTACTTACCAGTAGGCCTGCAGCATATCAAGCATTTATTCAAAATAATTATTATAACATAAAAGAAAAAAAAACTCATTTTCTTTTGCATACTTAATGCCTCAGCGACTAAGCTTAACCATTATCAGCAAACAAAAAAAACCCCAAAAATTAAATAAAAATAAATGAAACAATAGAAAAAATAAAAAAAAAAAACAGTAAGAGGAAAGCAAAGTAAGGGAATTGTAAATGAGTTCCATTTACAGATTGGGTATGGTTATAGTTCTTACATTAAGCTATACTTTCTTTTTAGTACGTTATTCAAATGATATGTTTCAACAGTATAAGTTGACAGCTTCAAGGTGAAAAGCGAAAAGTAGGTACACCTAGATTTCAGCCTGCTATCAAAACGTGGTGAGATAAGGAATTTAGTACACTACAATTTATCAACATTCCCCCCGAGTCAAACAGACTAATCCTTTGAGGTAGTGAGTCTGTTGACAGATTTCAATCAATGTAACTATTAGGGTCAATTGAAAAACTTAAAACGGGTGTTACACGTAGGCAGGATGGCGTGAAACTGGTGACTTTTTTGGTAGTGTTGCGCCTATGTGAGTATATTTTTTATCTTATCATTTTGACTGCATACATCGTTCACCAGGCAAAATCTGCGTTTGTCTTGATTAATACATTTAAGATAGGCCTGTTTAAGAAGTCTCATTAAGTTATAGTCCGCTGTCCGGTTTTGGGGACAAATGCCGTCAGACAAATGTGTAGACCCATACTAGCAGTACCTTGACTAAGAACGGTACAAAGACTCTTGCCGTTAAAAGAGAACCGTGGTCCTTTTCTGATTTAAGATCCACCTCCCTAGAATTATATCAAGAAGAAGTGCAATGCTGCGGCATGTTTTCGCATGATCAGATATGATTCAAATGTCACGTTTATATGAATCACTGTAAACAGTATAACCTCAAGTCTATAAAAGACTGCGCAAATGGCAATGTTAAAATATACATGAGTTTCTATGCAAATCATGAGAATTATGCTGTATAGTGGTACACCCTCGTCTATTATTTACAATATATTTCCATTTTATATACACTTTCATTTGATACTGTTGATTTTGTTGTCGCAGATCACATCTTATAGGTGCACATTTTGTTCAATTTCAGTTTGAAAGTCAGAAGAAACAGAGGACTTCATAAAGCATTTGTCGTTCAGGGCTAACGATGTCCGTAGCGTATATTTTCCTGGTCCTTCTTATTACCTTTTTGGATCCAGTGTATTCACAAGATGCATGCGTCACCGATTTTCAAACAGGCAAAAGGATTTTGGTTGTAAATGGCGTCATACCTCTGGAAAACACGGCTGCTCAAGACCTTGCCAGCTGTAAGGGAGCTTGCTGTGGTAGGCAAGGTGGGTATACATATTCTTAGTTCATACTCTAGACAACATATTGCGTCGACCGTTAGGGGCTGGGCAAGTAATAAACTTAAACTACACAATTTCTACAATTTGATAATCATGGATATAAAGCGAAAGTATTTAGCAGAATTGAAAAAATACACGTTACGTTATTTTCTGGATAATGGTAACACCTCAGTTCGTGTATAAAAGCCAGTAAGTTGGATAATGCATGAAAAAACAACATTGTGTTCAGTCACAACATTGTGCTAAGTCCGGTGTTTCGAGTACTCAAGGGAAGAATTACTGGCACAAAATACTAATGAAATGTATGTTTTCCCTTGGTGCCTAATGTCAGATTAAACACCTTATTTACCCATTCAAAATTAGGAACCAGACGAGTTTTTTTTTTAAATGTTTCGATCGAGATTTTTTAACATATCTCTTCACAAAGAGCATACGTACGAAGTTTCGAAATTCGAAATATTGTTTACACCCGGTGAAGTATAGATATTTTAATAGCATATCTATGCGTTCCACATGTAATCATAAAACAAAACAAAAATTACATTGAAAAAGGTTCCATTAATTATAAAAGTCATTTTTTGGCTATAAATAATAACACTTGCTTTGTATTAATGTGAAAATACGCCCCCGTTCCTTTGGTTTTCAAAGTTCAACTTCATATATTGGATGATGGAATGTCCACGGATGAGTCAGATGATTTACCAAATGCGCAGTAGTAGACGTGGAATCTGCATGCAGTAGCAAATACCTACCAGCATTTGGTCTGTTTTAATTATTTACCTGAACATTCATGATCAGCAAGCAAACGTTCCACATTTTATCATGTACGTTTACGAGAACGATACTAGAAATAAAAAGCAAGCTTCAGTTATGACATAATCTTAGGAATATATCTAACAACATATAAGCGTTTGTTTATTTTTAGTCAAATGAAAAACACAAAATAGGTTAAATGCAAAATCAATTTGCAATTTAACGAGTTCAGTTATTTAGGGCATGACCTTTTGTATCTATTTTATGTGTAAATTTAATTCTGAATTTGATTTTCACTGACCAAAAATTAAAATTTTGACAAGTAACAATATAACAAGCTCACTTGATTTACATATGACCTGTTATGTTTTAACGAATTTTTCTATGTGTAAATATTAATTCTAAATTCATATTTGACGGATATCTTATTTCTTTTAAAGACTGTTCTGCCGCCGTTTACAATCCCACTTCCGAGATGTCAGAAAACCAGTGCATTCTGTATCAGTGCCCCACGAATGGGTGTCAAGGTGCCATCAACGAGGCGGAATCTAGTAACGTCATCACAATACTGAGACAACAAGGTAAGTTACGAAATCTGCACTTTTAATTAATGAATGCGTGTTTTGCCATGTCAAGCACAATTTTCAATATCTAAAGATTACTGGTGCATGGGGTTCTTACTTTGTGTTGAAGGGGGGGAAAAGGAGTTTTGAAGGAAAGCAGAAAAGACGTTTCTTAAATTTCAGTGACAAAGAAGCGCGCTTCATGTAACAACTTATTGATCAGTGTAATTTTGAACCAAGGAATAAACATGCCATATACAGGTGTATATCCAATTTCTGATTTTCAATTGTGCATGACCAAAATAAACTTCCCATGTTTAATTTTCATAGCGAGCACCACTACAACATCTTCCTCTCCTGCACAGCAAGAACCTACAACACCTTACCCGATACCACCACTTCCAGTGGCCACAAATGAGTCCAATTCAGTTCCAACACCCACAGTTTCACCTCCTGTTCCTGAACCAAATCCTACGCCGTCTAATACAGCTGCTCCATCCTCTGTCAGTGTCCAAGGAGTTCCCTCTTCCACGAATCAAATAACACCCAGTCCTCCAACAGTGATAAACAATAGAACCTCACCGCAGCAGACACCAACCTTGACACCTTTGACTGGGGGACAGCCTGCCATAGCGGGTACAACAAACACTTCTTCAACAGGTGTGACTCCTCCAGTAACCCAAACCCCCATTGCCAGCGACCAAGGAAATGTTCCATCAACCGCACCACCAGTTCAGACGGCAACAAATGGCACCACGGTGACGGTGAGCCCAGCAGTCTCACCAACAGCCCAAAATGACACTGCTAATAGTCCACCAGGTGAGCCAACAGCCCAGGCTGGCACAACAAACAGCGCAACAGGGGCGCCAACAGTCCAGGCTGGAACAACAAACGGCCCAACAGGCGCGCCAACAGCCCAGGCTGGCACAACAAACAGCACAACAGGGGCGCCAACAGCCCAGCCTGGAACAAGCAGCGCAACAGGGGCGCCAACAGCCCAGGCTGGAACAACAAACGGCCCAACAGGCGCGCCAACAGCCCAAACAGGTGCAACCAGCAACCCGACAGGAGTGTCAACAACTCAAACTGCTGGCACAACAGAAAGAAGAACTACATGGTGGTGGCCTTCTACCACTGGGGGGACGGGCACTACTTGGAGCACACTGCCTTGGGATATTTGGGGTGCTGTTACTGATGGAACGACAGGTAAAGGTCCTTTGCTTTCGTGGTTTTTTTAGTCACCCTCATTTAGACTTTGAATTAAAATTGTCTCGGGTCCAAAACGTGGCATCAAAAGGGTTGTAATTAGCTGATGGACATTGCCATAATCCTGTCATCTCAAAACAACTGCGCTCTAGTCATCTGGAACCCGTGGTTAGTTTAGACGACTTTTGATGTATTAGGACTTGAAACGATTTTTATTTTTAAAAAATCGCTATTGGGAGTGGCTAATAATTGTTTTTATTATTTATGTTGCTGCTCCTTAATGTTATTTAAGGGCATAAGTTATTTACATATATTTTTACAACTTATGTCAGTTTTGATGTTAAAAAATCTAATTCGTTATTGGAATGGGGTTATGACTGGGGCTAAATGTGTAAGTCACAAATGCATCAAGATAGTTTGTTTATATGGGCCAGGAGATAGATTCATTTTTGGCATGGATGTGCTGTTAATTTGTTTCTTATTCGCTTCACTATTTATACGAATTGACCCTGTTCTTTCTTGCCAACCATAATTGAATGTTACTATGAAATATGTACAGTAACTGTCCTTTAACTCAATCAATCACAAAATTTCACGTTTGAAATTAACGTTTTCATTTGTACTTTACATTTTTATACAGCCACAACTATGAGCTGGGGGTTTGTCAACACAAACACGCCAACACCAGCACCGTCACCGAGTACAACTGGTAATTCTGTTGCAAATGAGGGATCGGAAGAGAGCAACGTAGGGTATATCGATGACGGACACGACACAAGTGCCATGACGGGTGCCCTGGTCATCGCAACTATTTTTGGAATATTATTTGTGGTAGTGGTAATTGGAATCATCGTCAAGAAAGTCCACGACAGCTATAGGAAAAGGAATTATAGAAGAGTTGACGATATGATGGACGATATGTACGACGGGACCCCATGACTATATGGCAGCAAGGGGAGCGAATATGATGAATATGATGAACTTCTTCATTAGAAACTGACTTATTCTAAACATTTCTTGTGCGGCAGTTAATACGTGTACACGAATATAGATGGTACTGTGACTAAAAAGGTAGCTGAGACCACGTGTTTCGCAGCAAAGTTGTATATAAACTGTTTATGATCTGTGATACAGCTACTTTCAGTGCTTTGTGTGTTAGTTTCTGTGGCATAACTGTGCTTATCATTAGACATGTCAATCTACGTTAACGGTCCGTAAAGGTAGCTTCTCTGGGTAAAAAATGTTATGTTGCATTTAAATGAGAGGTGACGTTAATTTCACGAACCTAGACAATTCCTGAAGTGAAATTAAACACCGGGTCTTCCTTTTGTAGATATGGTTAATATAACGACGACTACATACAACGCATATCATATTTATGTCATATTTATATCATGCATTAAATTAATAATAAAAATATATTAGTCGGTGGCTATATGCATGTATTAAATGTGATGGAGGATAAAATTTGTCTTTCCATGTAGTTTATCTTTCTTTCTACATATTTATTCACTTATTTTATTCACTTTTCTTCCTCTTTGGCCACGAGGCGAAATTGCTTGTATGACGTCAACGTCTATTTGTACAAGTTAACGCGCACATAGATACAGTAAGCTGGTGACAGGTGCATCTAAATAATAAATTAAAAGTGTAAATCACTTAAGACGTGTCAGCTATTAGCTGTAGATTATTGGGCTTAGTATTTTGTCTAGAACTATCGAATTTAATTGAAGAATTAAGGGGGAAAATATTATGAAAGAATTGCACAGAGAAATGCATAGCCTATGTAATATTTCGATACAGTATAAACAAAAGTAAAAAAAAATCTGCACAGCTGTAACGGTATGTTTGTGAGGCTCTGCGCCAAGGGGACTTTACTCCTCTTCTCAGGTTTTCCATAAATTCGTTTTCTTAGGTCCAGGTCCAGGGGGAAGGGGGGGGTGATAAAGTCTTAAAGAATAGAGAGATGCAGAACGATTTTAAAAATTATATTTCTCCGCCATTCTGCAGGATTTTGAAGGACAAACAGACTTCTAAAATTAAGCAGACGATACTCCTAGGTGCGTCATTAGAGATGATGTCACCGCCACGTGGTTTGACACTGAATGCAAATAAGACGGCTGACCTCCGCGAATACTCTCTAGATTTCTCACAATGGCAAAAACAGCGCGTTTCTATCAATTGGGAGCCTCCCTAAATTGGCAAGTAATAAAGAAACAAACGTATATACATGTTAAATGGGACAATTGTTTATAATTGGATGTGGGAAATTTTTCTTGAAATTGGCCAATATCAAAAATCGCCTTTAAATATTCATTAAATTTTTACGTTGTTCAATTTAAGGAAACGCTAATAACCATTCTACATTATTCACAGAGAAAGATATGGAACGAAATGGTAATAAAAAACATTTACGGTACTAGTATGAGGTGACTTTGTTTCGGAGGTTGAAAAACCTAGCCTTGGAAATAGAAGTAAAACTATCAGAACTTGAGGCCCACGTTTAGTTTTATTTAGGCCTTCTTAAAACTGTCTGCTGGTGTCTCTCGTGGATTAACAGCGAGAAAGAATTACGTGTGAAGATTTACACAAACCCTAGTGCGGTATTAACGCGCCCCGCGCGACTTCACGAAAATCCCAAAGGTCAGCTAATAAGGGCTTGCAAGCACGAGAAAAGAAGATAAGATGATGTAAATAATGATGTTGACTTCCCACCGCTCGATAGAGGTGTCCTTCAGGTGCAAGAACCAATTTTGGTATCAAACCGATTGTATGATGGGAGTCGCCCTCAGAACACGCGTGACTAGAATCACAAAGACCGCGAACACGGTTCTCTGGTGGTGGAACTCGTAACTTAGATTATCGGGAATTATGCCCTAGGGTTTCACTTAATACAAGCAGATGATTTGCCCTATTTCTGTTTCGGTTACAAGTACTGGCTGACCTAGCCCAGATTGTATGGTACAGTTGGTCATCATGCAGGTTTAAACCAGAAATGATGTGGGCTTTATGAGTACTCATTTTGAACAATCGTAACAAACTTAATTAAGAAGAAAGATGAAGTCATTAATGCTACCACAGTGTCGTTTACTTCCTTGGTTTCCTAACGATCAGTCGTTGCCATAATTACCCTAAACCAGGCCCCTTTACTTGTTATAGCAGTGTGATGGTGAATAAAAGACGTCGTGTGATTGGCCCTATGACGCAATCTATTTTGCATACATATACCTCACTTGTTATCCAGCCGAAATAATGCCAAATGTCTGTAAACTACACCAGAAAAATATCACTGGACCTAGAAATGGGTGAATTAGAATCATCATACAGGGACTCCTTAAGTAAGCTGATCATATGGACGCAGAGCAATATTGTGCATCTCTGCTCCTACATTTAAAAACTTATAGGAAAGATACTGCACTGGTAGATGCCCAGGATCGAACGAGAGGCAGATCGATCCACGCTTTATCTGTTCTGGCATTTTGCAAACGAGAAAAAAATAGAGAGTATCAACAAGGATGTTTCAACAAGCCAAGAAGGAGAGGAGAGAGAAACGAATCATAGGGTATATCCTGGTTGTGCTTGTTCTGATTATGGCTTTTTTGGGAGGTATGATTGTCCAGCTGTTCCTGAGCAGCTCCGTTCACAACGTCATCCAGTACACGTCGGTTTACGGGCCACTGAACTGCAGATCTGTTGTGGCCGGAGAGGCTGGCGAGAGCACCAGATCTAACAAAAGACCCATGTATTACAGGATAGAAAACTTCGGAAATTATAAACCTAAGGGACCATTAACACCCAACTTGCGCATGGTTTTAAAAGGCTACAAGTCGCAACAGCATGGATTATTTTATTCAAGGGACCTCTTGTGCATTTTATACCTGAGTAATACTGTAAAGCATACTGAAAATGTTAATCATATCGGCAAAAATAGTGCTATCGCAAAGCTTGATTTAAACAGAAGAAGGGAAGAATCCACTGCTTATCGTACGCTGCCTACCAAACCATTGAAAAAGAGCATGCAAATATTTGCCAGATTACACAAACTTGTAAAAACAGACAAGCCAACGAAAAATTGATTTTTTTCATTAAGGAGCGCTGTTAACATTGTGGAAGATCCTAAAGGTGACGTAACTGGACCCTCACAAGCCTCGGGATTAGAACAGAAATCTAATGTCTTGTTTGAATCGATCTCGTCTTAATTTCATAGAATGAATGTGATGGGCACTGCGCGAGCACGTTGCCATATTGATCACAATATTGGCTTCGTTTAATTCATATACTGCTATCTATATCTACTTTACACGGAGGAGTTGTTAGGATTGATAGGAATTTATTTGCAATTGCGGATAACATAAATGCTTTTTTTTTGCATAGCCTCATAACTTACCACACAGTCAGTCTGCTAGCGTCCTAAATATTCCGTTTATTATTTTCCACTAAAGATATTTATCCTAGGAGACTGATTTTAAATTTGAGCTTTTTTGTGATGGAAAAATGGCTTTCACCTGTTTACATGTGGGATTATCACATTATCGCGCGTTTATTAAGGCTTGAGTGAAATGACGATGAAGTACAATGGTCACCTGTCTACTTAAAAGTAAAGTTTTTTGTAGAAGCTGACGTCCATGAAAACAAAAAAATGAAATGGCATCAGAATTGGACAATGAAGACTACGTTACAGTTTTTCTTAAAGATGAGCTATCTCAAAAGGAGACACGATCTGGAGTGAAGATGTGATTGCGTTAGATGAGCTGCCTTAGCGCAATGGATAATGTATACCGGAGGCGTCGTCTCAATGTGCCGTGTAATAAATCACAGGATAAGGGCTGTATTGTCCCAAAAAGTAATGACACTAGATGCATGTATGGCAGAGTTTAACAGGTTGAATGTCACAGTTAGTGAGGAGAAAGCTGAGTCACCTATAACTAGGCATTTCAATTTGCTACGTTTATAATCTTGAATTACTTTTGTTTATTTCGTGAATACTTTTTAAAATGTAACCCCGAGCTTTTATATGGCGGTATCGAACTCTTAAAAGACTGACTCTGTGCCGCCATATTGTTAATCTAAAAAATTGATTTGGACTCTTGCTCGCTTGTATGAATGCTGTTCCCGAAAGGTATCCGCATATCGTATATCATGTCTATTTCTAAAAGACAAAATCAACTTTTGCCGCGGTTTTCAGCAATATGATGAATAAAAGACAACGTACGATGACTACCTTTGGTTATATTCGATTAACTGTGCGTGTGTGTGTAAAGTTTTGAAGTTGTCAACATCAGTGGTTGTATGCTTTATTTTTATATTTTTTCTCAAGGTGTCTTCCTTATTAAAGATATCCCATCAGCTGCTTTCTGCTCCAAATTAAATATTAATCATAGAAACAAATATTTTCCCACTTAAGAGTTATTGCTCGGTGCGTCTGTGCACTTAAATTTAAAGGGGTTTTAGTATTGTTACGGTCTGAATTGGACAAGATGAGTTGTTTAGCAGGATATGCAGGAATAATACACTAATATAATACACTAATAATACTATAATAATACTATAATATACAATAATTAAGACATTTGCAAATAATGCCCAATCATAAGTCTGCTTCACATTTCTTGAAAGTTACAGATTCATCCAGGGATTTGATGAAATAGAATTTTTAAGTGTGTTAAGATTGTTAAAACAATCAAAATGAAAACAAATCCTGTTCGAATAAATGAGTCATTTTTACGAACGATTCATCGAGATTGAGGTACGGAATTTTGTAAATGCAATTACCCTGCTAACTACAGTACGGCTCGCGCAATTTTAGGGGTTCCTGAATACAAATTTGAATCCAGATACTATAATTTGGTAGTCATGAATAAAAGAGCGATGAAGGTCAGAAGTTAAGACAGGCTAATTCCTAACCGGTTGTCAAGATTGTGCCAGAATTTGAAGCTTCAAGGTCAAAACGTTGATGAAAGGGTATTTATGCATGTTTTTACCAAGCATGCCTACTGTCTTAACTATAAGTAACCAAATACGTCACCTAGGAGACGAAGGGCGATAATAGGCCATTACAACATCGGTATATAATGATATGCATTTTTGCCACGAAACTTAAACACAAAATTATGAAAATTCTTCAGTTTGAGTTAATAGGATCATTTGGTACTGCGTGACGTCATACGAAATTAGAAAACGTGCGCGAAGCGGTGTGAGGCGGGGTTAACTTATTGGCGTTTAGGGTGACATTCTGTGCGCCTGGTGTGTCGCAATAAAAAATGACACTCAGAAACATGGTAAATCCATACAAAAGGCTAATTCTACAGAAGTTTCAAACAGAAAAATTATACGAGGATAAATTATGTCAGCCTTTATCCGTTGCTGCAAAGCACTCACTTTAGTCTGTCATTATTTATGACCCCACTCCTATCTAAATCCTTAAAATAAAAAATAAAAATAAATAAATAATAATAATGATAATAATAATAATAATAATAATAAATATATAAAAAAGAAAGGAAGGAAGAAAAAAAGAAAAAATATCGTTTGATTTACATTTAGTTACGAGACTATAGGTTATCTCGATTGACCTCTATCCAGAACAAAATGATTAATCCAATGGTACCGAAAACTTGATAAAGGCATCTATATGTTGTGTGATGAGGTATGGCAATATTTCTATCTCGTTTAAATAACAGGCGATCTGAAGTTGACGCATACTCAGCGTATCAAACGTCTGGAATTGTTCAGGTTGCGATATTTTACGCAATTCGTAATTAAACTGAAATTTTCATCAAATTAACACCAACTTAAGTTTAGTTTGTGTGTATTATATTCAAAATCTAGTGTGGGCAATGATGGAAGTGAAGCATTTGAAAGACCGGAAGACGGGGTCAAGTGAGCACGTCGTCATGCAGCAATATCAAGTACCTCTTTCTGTCAATTTTAATGTTTTTCAAGTGCTTTTTAATGGTTACCATGTAGTTGATTAATAACTTAGCATTTTCAAAGGTCTCCTTTCCTTTCCGTCCCTGACTTAATTCCCCCAAAGTCACTCAAAAACTGTTGTTCAGTCCAACTTTGAATCAAAATCAACACATTATGCAAATTCCGTTTTCTTTTTTCTTTTTTTATTTTATCGATGTCGTTGTTTCATAGGTGCTTGTGTTTAGAAGATAAAACAAGCATCACAAAGAACACCAGTCGATCATTCGGTCATGAAGTTGTTCATATTTTGGAACTGTTGAAGTAGATCCGGACAGCACTGATCGTCTTGATTTGAAGGATTTCTCTCTCTATTTCAGTGCAACGTGGTAATGAAGGTGCGTTAAATATGTCGGTACCCCTATGCGAAAAAGAAATCGATGGATGAATAAATTACTAACAAATCTTATAAATTGGCAAATGAGTAAATTTATAAATGAACATTAAACAACTATGTTTCTGTGTCTCTAAAATTGAGCTCTTCATGATTAGAATAGTATGTTCCAGTAGGTCTACCGGTTCGCGCACGGAGAGCTGTCCTTTTTTTTCTATAATACTGTTAAAGCCAAAGTCTACTGTGCCAAGGATCTTTGTGATTTTTTTCTCTAATATTATTTCACATTTTTGTCCTATTACTTGTATACTTTTTAAGTTGTCCGTAGCTTTGTTCAATATGAAATGGAGGAGAATAACCACTGACTGCCATATCAAGAGAAGAAAGTTTTTGTACAGTATTAAGCAGTAGTGTAGTAAAAATATTAATTTAATTTGCTCATTTCTTTCTTATCTGTGGACTGTTTCAATTTTATTTATACCACAATTTTTCTCTATATCGGTTACGGTTACGGGTTTTACATACCACCGCTTTATTCCTTCCATTTATCCTAAAGCTAAACGCTTTCACATTAATTCATGATTCATATATTCCAACATAAGTTGTATATATATATATATATATATATATATATATATATATATATATATATACTTAGTGCGCTCAGCAAGAAACCTGCCTATAAGCGAAAAATTTCAAACATTTCAAACATTTCCTTGGTTAGAAATGCACGATATACCCAACTTTTTTTACAGTTTATGTACTATAAATTTAATACTTCTTAGATAAGTAATCATTATATAGACGATAAGTCTTTTTTGCAGTTAGATTTGATAAGTCAAAAAATGTTGATAAGCGAAGCAGAATGGTAAACAAAGCAGCTATGACACATTTTGTAAAGGCCCGTCCACTTTCTTGGAATATACTTTATTTACAGAACCTTAATATACAGCATATGAAGTTCTCTGCAAAATTCATTGCTCACTTTTAAAAACGCTAAATATTATTTACAGTGAACCGTCAGATTCCAGTATAGGTGCTTTGTCTAAAATTGAAAATTCATGACCACATGTGAAACAATGAGCGCATGCCAGATACTAAAGTAGCCAATATTAACCATATTTTGATCGGAACATTTTCTACATATGATTTTCCTAGAATGCATGGTTTTGTTCGAATTCATTGTTCGAGTTAGTTTTTCTCTGTGATAATGATCTGCTTTCTGTTGAATGAAATTGACAGATTGCTCAATGGAAACTCGAGTACTCTGGAAAATATAATTTAGCCCCTAATATAGATTAAATGAGAATGGAACTTTGTTCTAAAAATCACCCCATAAGACACCGACTTTCTTGTATATCACTTAAACTGCTACATCTAACCTAAATGCTATGGGTCAACGTTGTCAGAAAATTAATAAAAGTACGGTGAATCATGAAACAAAATGTGCTAATGCTGTCGTAATTCTCAGGATGTGAAAAATGGTAGCACCAACATAGATTGCTAAATACCAAGAAATACCAAGAAAGGAAAGTTTGCAAGCCAACCAATGAAATAGGCGCAGGATTGTTTGTGAATCGTAATAATATGTGTTGACCGATTACAGCATAATATTTCGGATAATTTCTTATTGAATATGTAATATCAATTTCAATCCTTAAAATAAAATAAAATAAAATAGATAAATAAGCGGCCTTGATTTAGCAAATTTCGAACAATTTTCGAACAATATTCTGTTTGCTGGCTTTCTTCGTGTAGATGATGATGTGAATGTTTGTGGTAGTTTAGGATGGAGAATGCAATCAAATGCTGAAGCTAAAAAACGATAATCCAAAATAATCGGACCATATTCAGCAAATTCGATATCGTAATTAGTTAAGAACGACAAAAATCACTAAAAAATAAATTTTGTGAACGTAATAAATAAAACTGGTTAACTTTGGTTGTAAATATTGAATATGCTGTAGATCCTTGAACGCCCCCAAAATATACTAGACAAGCAGACTATTCTGTCAACAACTCAGTCCTCAAGTGCACGTTTATCTTTCACCACTTCCTATTTTCATCGTCCTTCGTATGCACAGGCGTAATAGTGAGTAGGTCCCCGGTAAAATCCGTTCATTCCCGACGGATAACTCGGGTAATTTAGATTCCTAGAATGCCTGGCTTTTGCCATGCTCATATAGTCCGGGCTCCCGTATGAGTGGTAGGAGTAACCGCCATCAGAGAAAGAAGACCCCGTCGACAGCTGGGGAGCAGCCACGGAACACTGTTCGGGAAAACTGACCGGGAGCATTACCCCGTGCGCTGACTGGAGGGGGCTACCGTTCAACATGTCCGTTGATTTTAAAGAGTCCGATTCTACATTTAACCCGTTTTGTGCGTTGTTTTCGTTTTCTTCGTCTTCTGTAATTAAAGGTGGATCAGCTGATTAAAGCCTACAAAACGTTTGATACATGTCTAGCTATGCGTTATTTGTAATGCGGGCAATTGGGTAAATTATGCTCCAGTAAATTGTAAGATAAAGCAACATTGAAATATTTTGTAAAATAAATTTTTTTAAAATCATTTATTGCTAGATTCAATTTACTTTATATTTCCTTAGCTGAAAGACTTTGTCTACGTATTTTACCATTTCCGTTCATGCAGGAAAAAATCACTAAAGCGGGAAACAATGGCATCCGGTATGTAGCACCAGTATGTTTCACATACTCTCTCAAACATCTCTCTAGCATTAATGAAATATATTGACTTCTTAATTTTCAGCCTTTGGTTTTTTATCACCACGAGATTTTATTTTTCAAATTCATTCGATTAAGAGAGAGAGAAAGAGAGAGGGAGAAATAAATAAGTTAACCTTTATGTTCTTGTAGTTTCAGTGAGTTTTTCCGCCTCCCCGGTATTCTGACTAATTGCATGGAGCTAGGCCGCGTGTGGTTTCTCTGCCTGCTGCAGATGGCAGGGTGGTTCACGTTTGTGATGGACTCGATGACACTGAAACGGAACAAATTGACTATTCTCACTTTCAGATCTTTGATGTGCGCGTTAGAACATTAGGGGGTTAAAAGTCACAACAGAAGAATCACAAACGCTCGAAGCGTTTCTTAGATACCAAGCAAGGTTGCATCTGAAATACATGGTTAAGTTCTAGTTTAAAGTTCGCAATGACAGTATGTGTACCGTTACAAGTGGGGGAAAAACTTACCAGTCGTCTGCTTCTGCGTCTCGAAAACCTTTTGCGAAGGGGTTGCTGGCTATTTTTAATTGGGTAATCTGGAAATATAATTTTCAGACAAAAATTAACGAGCTGCATTTCCAGAACACCATCGCGTTTTAATAATTCTGGTGTAATTTCATCCGTTATTTTGCAGCTCCGACGGTGGCCAGAAAAAACATTGTTAATGTAATCCGACTTTCCAGTTTATACAACTCTGCGTTAATAGGGAGCGACTCGTGGTGCCTTTTCACCTTTTTCAGTTTCGTATATCTCCACGCATCAACTACCAGGCTTCTTAAATGTCAAGCTACAGCTGAATCCGTTCATTATTTAATCTCTGTCACTCACTCTCTAATTACCAAAGGTTCTTACCAGCCCGGGAAATCTTAGTCTTAATTAACTTTGATAGGGGAACTAACGATCACCTTTGTCTCAATTCACCCCGATAGTTTACAGAACCCCGCATAAATAAAAAAAACTCCTAGCCAGAGTCTGTTCAGCACTGGATTAGTGTAAATTGTGAAGAAAGGGTTAGTGGACAAATCAGTCGTAGACTAGTGGTCAGGTTTAGAGAACCGGTGCCTAATCTTCGTTCAATGAAAAGAAACCAAATTTTACTTTTACCACTTTTTCTCGGTCACCACTGTTCTACTGCCTTATGTTTTGGCAGTGATTTGATATAGCTATTCATAATAGAAGAATAGGCATTTCCATGCTTACTGAAGGCATTTCATTAAATTGTAAATATTTTAAGAACTAGTAAATATATTTCATTTTCTAGATAAATGTAAATCAGTAAATAAATCCGTTTTTCTGAAAAAACAAAAACGCATACTGATTTTTGTTTTGTGTACACCTTTGCTATTTTTCTGTGCTTTTACGCATCTTTAAATTTCATAGTGCACGAACAATTTACAAGAATAACATCACTGGACACTATCGTAAAAATAACAATTAACTATGAAGAAAAAACATTCAAATTCTTACCCTGTGATTTTGATATGCTGTTACTGCTGTGAATTTTGTTTCTATGAAAACAAACGTTTTGTAGGTCTGACATTGTGATACGTCCTCCGCTTTGGGGTTCACGTAGATCACGTGAAAACGAGGTTGGAATTTGTGCATTGAATTCAGGATTATCTAGAGGGAGAAAAACAAAACAGTATCACATGTACATAGATAAAAAAAATTGGCAAGGGTATTTTAAATACCAAATGTCAATGGTAAAGATTAGAAGATTATGAGAATCTTTGCCATTTTCATCGAAAAAAGCAACCATTACATCCAAGTGTCTAGCATGGCTTCAGCCATTTCCCCACCTAACAGATGTAACTTATAACTTGAATTAATTCGCGGTTTAAATGATTATAAACCACTATACATCATTACTTTAAAATATTAAACTTGAGTTTTTCAAAAAATGAATTTATAAATCTAAGAAGAGGATCACACTACCCTGGAAATGTACATGACTTTTATTCTATATGAATATGTATCTAAATACATGTGTAATGCACTATTCTTATACACACTTGTAAACATTAACAAGATCATTGGAATAGTTCCGATGTTTTCTCTTCTGTCTTTTTTTCTCATAGATTGTGAGCGAAACACATCCTTTAAAATTATTCCATATGATTTCCTTGATTTATTCAGCATTCCTTACAACTCAAGGATAAACATTACATACTAATGTTTATTTTTAAATATATGTCATTCAGATATCTTTTTTTTTCTCTAACTTTTTCTAACTAAAACTGCATTTTCAAATCATCTCCCGCATTTCTGTTTTACAAAAACTTACGTGTCCGTTCTCGTCCATTAGATTATTGGTCAGCTTCAACTTGTCGAAGGACACCACTTGTTTCATCCACTGTGCCCCCTTGGCCGGAGAGTCCGGGTGGACGTGTATGCGGCCGGGCATGTGGGGGTCAGCCTTACTGGCCACCACCCAGCTGGACGTATGGAAGGAGTAGCGGTAGCGCTTGTCATCGCACGGGATAAAGTCCATCACTAACATGTAGTCCGACATAGGGTCCAGCCCGAAAAGACGTACTTGAAACGTGGGGAACATGCGCCTGTGGATGAAATTTTTCTTTAGATTATCACCGTGAATTAATTAAAATCTGACCTGATCTAATTTTGTTTTTAACACTTAGAGAATGCTTTGAAAATAGAGTATGTTAAGAACGGTCAATAATTCAAGTGCTAAAGATCTTTCATCAAATGTAAAGATCCTTAATCTAATGTAATAGCTGACAAAATAAATCCCAAAATGGAATTTAACATGGCTCTCTTAGATGTGTACTATACTTAAATTAAAAGAATGCCTAGCGCATGGATTAAATGGAAAAATGACCTTTGGTAAAATACCTGAGGTTATGTTACATTTACAAATACTAAACCATATACTGATAAAATTGTAACATGGCAAGTTTTTGAAAACAGAAGGTGCCTGACAACCACAGTTTAATCGTCTGAACGAAATGCGAGTGATCTAGCAAAATGTTGATAAAATAGAATAAACTGGGGATCATCTTCAAAATAAATTTGGCTTGCTTTGCTTTTTACCTGTCTGAAATAACTATCCTCTCTTTCGTAATATTTGCTTTGAAACCACCCAAATATGCAATTGTGTTCTTGATAATGTTCAAAATTTCATCACCCACCGCTATAATTTATACGAAGAGAAATATCTCAACCGTTACTCATAATCTAACTGTGACTCGAAGTTAAAAGCAAAGACTGTACATCGGCGTGAAATGTTAACACAATGAATGTCGCTGTATTTCGGGCTGTACCTAGTTGTACTTGTTTTAATAATTATATTAATAATGTTTCAAACCTAAGTTAAAAAGTGTATTCTGACCAAATTTTAATCAACGTTCCACTTCCTTCATAATTATCACATGATAAACTTTAGATCTATATCATTATTCCGACTGAAACGTTGTATCATAGGTTTGATTATGACGATTTTTTAACGTAAAAATGCAGATCCTGATGTCAGCTGCGACTGGTGACAAATACAACTCGTTAAGAGGGCTAAGTGGCTTTATTTGATATGATTATATGCTTTTCGGACTTTTCCGGTTCTTTGGCAAATTACTTTTTCTTCTTAAACTTAATCTTCTTGGCCAGTTGTGCTAAAAAATTAAGTCGAACGGTGATCTTTATTTCAGCATTGGAGACATTTAAGACTTAAAAGTTTCATCAGTGGTAATATGTCTTTTTTTTTTTTTTTTTTTTTTTTACAAAAAGTACGACATGGCTTACGTTAATTATTTAAAAATAATAGACTAAAACACACATATTTTATATAAAAATAGACCAAAATTCCGTCTTCAAATTTAAGACAAACCTACTTCAGTTATACTGTGAAATTTAGCCTAGACTCTAAATTCTCAGCAAAAGTGTAGCTTAAGCTTTCTCAAGCGTGTCATTAAATAGACGGCTTCATAAAAGAATTTTTAGTCAAAACCTTTAGGCTAATTTTTTTGGCTTACTTTTACTCAATTCAAAATCGTAGTATTTCATTGAAATAGTGCGCCTAATTTATAAGAGAAATAAATGATCAATAGAGAATTTACTTTTATTGACGACTGTGGATTTCTCTTGGATCAAACTACGCTAAAATTTTACGTCTTAAAATTATGAAATTAAGACCAATTTAAGGCCTTAAGTTCTTTGGCCCCTTACTTCATGTGCTGAGGAGACTTCAATTCAATTCAAGCCCAATCATATGTCATAATAAAAAGCTTTTAATTTTTTTGAAATCCTCAGTCATTATAAGACCTAACGTGTAAAAATCAGTATTCTATATCCAAGCATCCTCCGAAGGAAAGCTTTAAACTATTGACATACCAGATGGTACTCAATAATATATATCTGTCAATAAAATTAACAAGGTAAATATTTTGACAAATATAATATATATTAAAGGATTGATGAGCCAACTGTTTGCATCATAGTTCCGACATTTTAGTGCCCAGACATCACTTATTTAAGCTAGGGTTGCATTTAAATCAATTAAAACAAAGAGCTGCAATTGTGGGACTATTAATTTTAATTATTGTCTTAATTGTACTTCATTGCTTAAAAACGAAAAAAAACTTACGGTGCATATTGTAACATAACTTTTTCATACATGTTCAGTTCTCCATTCAATTTTACTCTAACTCCCATGTAAGCATCTTGCGCATTTACTTACAACCTAAAATAATGTCAGCATGCACATACAACGTTGATTTTTCTGTTAAGTGGACATTTTCGCTTTATTTGCACTCTCCAAAAAGTTTTCATGAATTTCCTGGCAAGCAGGTTTTTACAATCTGTATCATAAACGAATGACAATCACAAACAGCTAACTGTGTTGTCTTGCATGTACTGTAGTTTTTATTCCTAATGACAAATCACAGTGAATATCTGCTGGTTTAACATCACATTTCATAACACACAAGCCCAATTCTTTCGAATGGATATTTCGATAATTGGTCATCATTTAGTGAAATAGAAAACAAGTGCTAATAGACCGTCAGTTTTAAAATATTTTCGACTTCAAAGGGGAGGTTAGTCAAACTTAATGGGCATATATTTCCCAATGTTTTTATCCCACGTGCGGTCTTATCACCCTGTTTTTCACAGTCATTAATTGAAAAGGTCAGTTAGTCATTGAAATTTGTGAAAGTATAGCTTTACACTGACTTTAAACCCCCTTTTTCCGACTGTAAAAAAGTCAAGAGAATAACCCAACCCGAGACATTCAAGTTTCAGCGGCTACGATTGGATTATTTTGGGTATGACATTATTTATAATTTTTCGTTAGGTCAGACGTATTAATAAATCGTTCTCCCAGCTTAGATGTAACGACTTACTTTGAAAAAAAGCCTTAAAAGGGCAATTTATGTCAAGTACTGCGGTTATCACAGATGCATCAAGCGCGGACGCTGATACAATGCACATTTAAGGGTGAAGTGCAATTTTTTCTTCTGATATCTTGAAAATCGAGAGCGCAAAAAAGCATTCTGTAACTTGAGGCACAATACAACATTGACTGTGTAATGAAATAAATAGTCACAAGAAGTCATCAGTTTCAAACAAAATTTCCTTGGTTGGGGAGTATTGGAGATGTAATTTGATTTCTCATTCTGCAAGGTTTATAAACACACCAGCAGGCAAAACAGATCATTTGCCCCGCAGAGTTTATATACTGCCCATTCCTGGGTGCTATCCGTTGCTCACAACAGTAACAAAGCAAACATAGATTTATACCTAAGAACTTTAAAAACCATTCTTCACTTGCTATTGTTGAATTTGATGTAAGGATTTTAGTTTGCTTTTTCTCTTTTTTTCTTCCTTTTGACATTTTTCTTCTTTTGCTTCCTTCTCAAAGTTCTTCTCAAAACGATCCTTTTGACGTTTGGCCCTTACTTCTCTCCCGCGAAAAAAAAACCCAACCTTATCAAACTGACGAAGCAGGTGCTATCAAAAATAAACGAACTCTACATCTGAAACATCAAGCGCATCGTATTTTAGAAAGTCTATGTACCGAAAATACCACCAAGGTTGAGAAGCCCTCTTCCAGCCCATTCGGCAACTCATTTGTTTCAATTATTATGGGCCCATATATCACACGGCAACCTGTTAAAGTCAACTCAAGCATCACAACAAGGGACGCAAACGGCCAAAGATGCAAACTGGAGGGCAAGATAGATGGGAGCGCTCATACACACCTTGACAATAAAGATAAATATTTTGCTTGGGTTTTTTATCGAATGTTTACGTTACGAAAATATTGCTTGGTTATGTTTGGATTTCCAATGTATCTATTTTGAGTCCGCTTCACGCCTCGTTTTACGAAGAACGAAAAGAAAGTTGATCTGATTTTTTTATAGCTTTTTTTGTCTCATGCTTTTTTACTTGCGTTGTTATCAAATATATCCATTTCATCAGATATTTTAGCTTCGTTTTATTCATTTTTGTTCTTATTCTTATTATCATTTCGCTCAAAAATCGTCTTATGAATAACGTATAGTCATATTTTTTCATATTTTAGCTTCGACCAAATCTCGATCAAGGGGAGAATCGGGGTACAGTGCATCAAAACATACAGAGAGTTGAAAATTCTAAAAAATAAATATGAATTGTATTACGCCTCAGTATAACAGATTGGTATCACAGCTGATAATGCTTCTGATTTCTTTATAAGAGTGAAAAAACAGGAAAAGATAACGCAGTTAATGAACACTACTCCATGCGAATCTATCAACATACATGTATGTGTCTGGGGGTAGCTTACTTTCCATCGAACCTTAGCGGATAAAGTGCTTTCTATTCATAAAAAAAGTTAACTAAGATCTTTAAAAAACACAATCCCCTTTACGGCCTACTTGGGACAGATAGACAGTAACATCTGTTCACATTTTGCCGTGCTACAATCTGGGGCCAGGCGCGGTTCGTGCAGTATGCCTCATTTGTTTATATTTCTAAAATCCCCAGAGAGATACACCTGCATATAGCAAAATTCATACAATACCAGGACGGCCCAAACGTTACCGCGTGCGCAACCCGATCGGTTTCTTTGTACAACTGATATGCATATATATATTTCTGCGGTCTGGAACTCGGCGGAGAGGGGCTTTGTTGCAAAAGCCATTAGAACCAATTTATTTACGAATCGGTGGGTGGCACAGTCGTATTATTCAAGATATTATATGTCGTGTTTTTATTTTATTTCTACGAAGTTTAAACCTTGGAATGTGTCATATGTCATTTTCATGACTTGGCAAGTTGGCAGACTCGTGTGAAGGGTGCTCTGCTAAAAATGATTTCTGGACTTTTAAACTGCGGATGAAACGAGATATGATGCGAGATTGGGGCTGATTTTTTTAAGTTCACTAAAGACAATATGCCGTAAAAAAGATAATCAGGCAGGCAATATGAGTCTTTCGTGCTTACGCATAACAGCGATGAAAAGTTATCATAAGACTTAAAAACTGACATAATTTGGCGATGTTTACAAATTAAGCTATGAAATGAATAGAAAACAAAAAATAGATATTGCATAAAATACTTGATGTTAACAGTCACCGTGCTATGTCCCACTTACAAAAACAGCTGTCTCTTTTATTCTAGAAGGAAGCATGTAACTACGGCAAATTCAGCGAGACTTTGTACCTTTCTTTTCTAATTCTTATTTCTAATATACGTATACATTTTTAACAGATTTATGATAATTTTCTTCACTAGACTTGTTTTATTTCTCAATGATTCATCATAGAAACGAAAGAAAAAACATTTAGTCGGATCAAGCGACCTGACGGTGAATTAGTGATTATTTCCGACTGTATAAGCATTTTAAAATAACTGAACAATGTCACATAAAAAAGTTTTGATATAGATTTAAAATTTTGGCTTACATTCTCTACAACAGAAAAGTGTACCGCTGAACACATGTTAAGCTATATACAGAGGGCGCCTGACATTTCCCCCAACTCTACGCTGTCAAAGCTCACCTGCCCGCCTTGGTGACGATCATTTCCGTGCCCAATTCGTCAAACTCTCGCCACAGCTGTCGCATCTCCAGATCCGAGGTGACGTGGATCAGCTTCGGGTGGAGGGGTTTATGATTATTCTCCAAGCGTACCACTACCGGATCGACCCCGGTTTCCTGTTTTAGCGGCGACAGGGCATCGGCGTGCTTGCCGTTTTCTTCTGTGGTCGTGGACGTGCTTGTCATCGAGAGATCGGAGTCGCTGTTTTCCCGGTTCATTTGAGAAGAAAGACTCATGTCGTTATATAGCGGGCGTCCCGTGCCGGCGTTCATAAGACAAGCTACGAGAAAAATAAAAAAAAACAAAGAAATGAAAATAATATGACAGTTGACAATCCGATCAGAGGCATTAAAGAGCTATGAGGTTTCAAGTTATCAGCTATTTAGTAATTGGAAAAAATTCAAAAGTAGTTTGAAGTAGTATTTCATTGCTAATTAAATCCTTTCTTTGTTTGCACATATTTATAAAAAATCATTACATATGTATTTCAACATATAGAACTTTCATACTAGACGACTTTTTAATGGCAATAAGTCAAAAGAGTCAAAATTTTCTTAATATATTTTCCAGAAGAAAGGAACCCGACAGCAGAACTTTTTAACACATTAATCTTAATAAAAACATTAAAACACTATCAACACGTACACACATACAAGGCAAACTTTATATTAACTGCCTGGCCTGGGATTTGTATAGCTGAACCTTTACTCGCCCACTGCATTTCCACAGGCCGCTATCATTTGCTTTTTTTCCCCTGCTCCCTCGAGAGCTACATGTATAAGGTATGGAAATATCCCTAACAGACGTGACAGAGCTTTGGCCTATAGTTGTACGTATTAACTGCCGGTTTGATGAAACCATATCAAAATGAAAAACAAAAACAACAAAAGACTTTAAAGAATTATTTCCCTATCTGACAGGCCTGAGAAAGTCAATGCCATTTCTATACAGTATCTATGGATTATAAGCTTAGAAAAAGCTTAAAAACATAAGTAATTGGAGTTGGTTGGTTTCTACACGTTACATAATATGACTCATCAAATAATTTACAATTTTTAAAGTACACTCCATGGGTTTGAAAATCACCTAAATGCTTATTTTTGGCACTCACAGCTTTAAAAAACTTACATACACCTTAAAAAAGATTTAACCTCTTAAATATTTTTTTGCTTTAGCTTATCTGATTTTGATATTTCCAGCGTAACTTAAAGAGATGGTAGCTGGTTATAATGACTAGCCAGTCATTTTAAACTAAATCAACCTTTATAAATTTAATTTTAGATCAAATGCAAGTGCAGAGAGAGACAGATAAATGATAAGTGAGTACGACAAAATTGCTTATTTCTACGGGAAAATCCATTCTGGCGGGTAAATCCCATGGAGTTGTCTTTTACCTTCGCAAATATGTTGAATATTATGTGAAATATCAATTCTTATACACTGCCATCATTGACTTCCATCTTTAATAGTAAATGTTCACATTTACGCTGTCTGGGGATTTCATGTGACACCAAAAGATTAACATAGGTCCGTTACATTAGCCATAAACAATAATCTGTATAAAAAATTCGACATCACATAATGACATTACCTACTTGGGTCAGCTCAGATCATAACACATTTTGTAACTGACCTAATATTAGAAAGCCTATATTGGATCTACACTGAAACGCACCGTATTTAGTACTTATTCTATATTACAGAAAATAAATCACTGATTTATAGCCAGAGCAAATAAGGGATAATAATTATATATTTCCACAATTGCTTCAGAAAATTGACGTTTTATGAATAATTGCTGAAAACATAAAAAGTTTTATCAACGACTCTTCTATCAAATTGCATTGTTTTAATACAACAACGTTAATGAATCGGTGAATATCGTCATCTGATATAGTGTAGCACCAAGACAGAGTCATGTTCACGTGATTTTTTTTTAAATAGTGAAATGGTTATATTAGATACCGAATTGTCCACAAAGCAGACTTTTCTCGTAGACAGAACAACCAGAACCATTTCAATATTAAAACCATTTTTATCTTCTTTTTAAAATACGTGATGTTTAGTATCTCTTTATTCGCTCTTCAATCTCCTTAAAATGAAACGGATTTATTGTTTTTTCAGCATCAATTTTTTTTTTTTTTGGGGGGGGGGGGGCTTAAAAAGACCTTATCACGTTCGAGAGAAAACCGTATCGTTTTCAAAGGCCCCCAAAAACTTTTTTAGAAAAAAACTTTAAAGATATTGACAGTAGCGGCATGTACCTCCCACCCTTTTGTTAATCTGCTTGTTTTTCCTTCTGCTTAAAAAATTAAAATGAAGCGTTCCCGCCTGTTGAGGCTGTATTTAGGAGGCCAAGAGTGCGCTATGAAAGCTTCTGATGTGACCCAACATTTGCGAATACTGCTGTATTTTTACTTAACTCCACAAGTTCCAGACATGCGATCTTTCTTCGACATTATGAGCTCACTCCAAAACAAGCCCAAGGTACTTTGTTTCCAGTACCCACACAAGACGTAATGAAAACATGCGCCTCTGATGATTCCTTCCTTAGATCTTTAACTTTTTATCAACATATTTTTTACATTAGATAAAACAATTAACACACGTCCATTGGAAAGGTTGCGTGTCTGTTTAAGGGTCTTGGATAACCTCTTGCATGTTCCAGCACAAGTTTAAATATTCAAATGTAGCATAATGCGCTTAGAAAGCTAAACTCCAAATATATACCAATCAGCATTGATAAAATTGGAGAAAATGAAAATATCAAGAAACCGATAACTCTGATCTCAGTAAAATCTCTCTTTGGCAGTGAAGTAACATTACAATAACAAAAAATACAACCTGGTTTTCAGTCTCTCGGATCATATACTGTGTCCGTCTATCAAAAGAATTTTGATCTACACAAGCATATGTTGGGCGCCGAGAACTATATGGTTCCCGCTTTTACCAGCTGATCAGACGTCTTAATTAACTCAACCAGACAGCTTAATACCTAATCGCCGGACTTGATAACGAATTAACAATTGCAGACTTGAGTGAGTATCAAACGGCCCACCGGCCGCGGCATTTTGGGAGTGCTCGGCCCGTGCCGTTTGCCCCTTTCCCCAGACAGAAATAAAATGATCAAGCAAGTGTTCTTACACCTACAGGTGATGCTTTCAATTACTTATCACGATTTGTAGAACTCATGCTTATCAAATCAAATCAAACACAGCATTCATTTCAAAAACATCAATAAATGCGCCAACAGAGTTCGCATAAAGAAATGAAAGATTATATACTGTAAATTAATTTCGAAATATTTTAAGCTGTAGACGAAGATGATTTACATGACTTAACTTACATGCGTCTGTTGTCATAATGGCACTCTGAGGAACAATTCCAGCACTTAACATTACTGTATCAAGAAGTCGAGTTGTGAATATTTGGGTCAAATGCTTATTTTACGGAAGAACGTAAGACCATTTTTTTCTACTTTGACCCAAGTGGTTGTCCACTTCAATATTTTAATGAAGATATTGGGTTTTTTCCAGTAAGAATGATTTATGCTAACTATTTGGTTAATCCTACTGAATTACATTTGTATCAAGGACATGAATTGAAGTAGATGAAACATTTTGGTCATGAAGTGGAGATCAACTTTCGAATCAAGTTTTTTTTAAATGTAAAACTGGCATTGGGCATGTGAACGAAATATCACATAGTCATATCTCCCGACATTATACGCTCGAAATTGTACCTATTTAAGAATAATGATGCGAATATGATGACAGTCATTTTATCGACATGCACAGGTTGAGCTTGCATGACATTTTGGTCACATTAATGCAAATGTACAATATATAATAATAATTCATTCCAGTAATTTTAGGCCACCCGCCCATATTACATTTTACAATTTATATTAAGATAACCACATGTAGCAACACATGAAGTATGACAAAACAAAATTATTATACAAGCGTAACAAATATCTCATCACTGTTAGTAATACAAAATAAGAACATGAATGAATATATATGAATGCTTAATTTATTTTTGCATGACGAAAATCATATGCCTTGTCTTCTTTGAATCTGTGAGTTCGTAGTGAAGAAGACGTTCGATATCTATTTATTCAATTTAATTTGAAAAGGAAAGATTTGCCAACACCGGGATACAGCAAATGCAGCAACAGTAAAAAAGCTATCATACAATGCCATATTGTTCACTCATCAGCTTAGTGTCATCTTTTTCGCATTCTCACCAATCAAAATACTATTTTTTATTGCACATTTAAATACGTTTTCATTGCACGTCTAAACAAGTTCAGCATTGTCATCGCCATTTCAGTATGATTATTTTTCAATATATCTCACTCATTTTTTTCATTCAATACAGGATTAAGGGGTTTAATCGAGTGGGACTTGAAATACAAAGTAACGAAAACAAACAAATGTCATTCTTTGGTGAACATTTGTTTTTTTTAACGTAGACAAAATTATCACAATGCAGTATCGTTTATGTTTCGTAAAAGACTGAATTTAAATGGCACTCACACAAACTAGGCAGAAAGTGGTGTGCTCTTTGTACTTTCCTAAGATCAAAAGGGTTATCTCAGATTTTAAGTGTAATATATGTCACTTACTGCTGATTTCGTAGCCTATTTCTTTTTTCAAATACCAGGTGCCATGTTGAGAACTCGATTTAATAATATCGCATGACTTGCAATGGCGATTGGTTTTGATAGCAGAAAATTCTCAATTCAGGATTATTGACACTAATGCACCATTAATTGAAATGAAATGAACATGAAATAACACCACATATTTAGGCGCAAAGATGTGTTAAAATTGCATATCTTATCTTTTAACGTCTGTGTCAGGTCATACCACATTTTCAAATCCCGTTGAAAGCTCTTTACGCTTCTTTCCTTTGATGACTCACCAGATAAAATTCTAGAAATATGTTAATGGTTACCTCAAAAAAAAAAAAAAATTTAAAAAAAAACAAAAAAAAAACCTAGGATAATCAGATTTTTAAAATGATAAAGGATGATGGTAATGTATGACATACCAAATGAATCACAATTCAAATTTGATTTCAGATGTGAGATTACGAATTGTCAGTTTCTGTTTTCTCAAAAACTACTTATCTTTTTTCTTCTTTTGCTATTGTATTTATTAATATTNCCTCAAAAAAAAAAAAAAAAAAAAAAAAAAAAAACTAGGATTATCGGATTTAAAAATGATAAAGGATTATGGTAATGTATGACATACCAAATAAACCACAATTCAAATTTGATTTCAGATGCGTGATTATGATTTGTCACTTTCTGTTGTCTCAAAAACAACTTATCATTTTTCTTCTTATGCTATTATATATATATATATATATATATATATATATATATATATATATATATATATATTGTATTTTATTTTTCTTGGATTCATTTAGGATAGCATATTTAGTTCAAGCGATTTGCTTCCTTTTTCTTTGAATAAACCTTTTTTGGGGAATTCAACCTACACAGGATTATAAAAATGCACCCCCGGCAATATCAAAAAGTTTGTTAACATTATATTTTTAATTAGCAAATTTTAAATTGTTCCAATTTTTACTACATGTTCATATAGAATAACAATAATACATTTCTATGTGATGTTTTATATCAAAACTTCCAGAGATTCGGACTCAAGAAAACACCACTCAATGTGATGAATTTTTTGGGTCATGTGCATCTGAAGCACCGCAGACAAAACATGGACTTGTACAGGAGTACCTATGACGCCAAATTGAATCCTTTGAAAAAAGACTTATATTTTTCTAACATTCACATTTTACGAGGAATAAGGTTACGCAAAAAATATGAAGTTTCAACTGTTTTGGAAATTCGAATACTAGGATATCTCTTTTGAGAAAAAAAATGTTAATTTTTTCGCTATGAATGTCATGATTGACCGTTTCTCTTGACAGAAACATCGCAATTTTAATAACGATCTCCATTTAACTGTTAAGAAATATTATTTTCATCACAAGAATCACAGTGATGCCATCGTGAATCTTGAGACCAAAATAATCAAGATGGCGGCCAACCCGTCTGATAGATTCTATTTATCGCACAATTGGTTTTCTCGCCAGCCCGTTCACTACCGTTCGCCTCAGGCTGCGGACAATGGCTGAAAATTTCGAGGTCCATTTATATCTAATTAATTTACCCCTTAAGAGAAGGAACCTTCATCCACTTCATCAAGTTGTGTTTGATTTGAATGATTTTCTTATCCCCCATTATTGTACTACGTTACATGATTAGGCCCCCATGTACTCGGGCAATATGCGTTGCTAATGCTTTTAAGACACTTTAAGTTTGCCATCCTAATAACGAATACTAAGATCCCTAAGATGGCAATCATATCTTATTTAAAAAGAGGTCAAGATGCTAACTACCGTATGCTTACCTATTCGGTAAACAGTCACTGGACTCATACTGTTTATAAGTTTCCCCCTACAATGTACTATTACAGCTCGTTTTATTTACCTTTTAGTAATAATGGATTTTCACATGCAGGAGTGTCCACAGATGTGCCTGAATCGTTGACCTGAACCGTATCCTACTTTCACAGAGTAATGGAATACTAACTTTAAATTTTTACTTTTAAGTCTGCTGGGACCCTCACTAAAGGCATTTGGTAGGCATCAGCCCAGTTCTATTTACACACGTTGCAAATATCAGAGTTTTTATACAATACAAACGAAATTGCATATGGTGTCGGCCCTTCTATTTCTCTCCTGGTTTAAAATTCTTTAATTTCGGAAGTGTCAGTGTTAGAACTGATACAGTTTAAATAAAGTTCGGTGCCAGGGGGAACTCGCTCATTTTCTTGGCGTCTCATTTATTTCTCGCTTCTCATGAAGTTATAAATATTATTTTTAATTCAATAATTTCTTGCAGACTGAGGAGTTCAATCAGTATTTTCAAGAGAGGCACCACCACGTGTAACATAAAATGTACAAATCGGACTAGAAATGCCCAGCCCCCCATAAAAATATATCTTCCTAAAGTGATTCAGAATTTAGTTTTAATCAATCTCTTAACCTAAAAATTGACACTGTCAATATTTTTTTACTGCCAAGGATGACAGCTAACCGTGAACACGCTTCTGTTATAACAATAAATATATGTTTTAACCTTTAATACGGATTCATTTTGAACTTTAAAGTGCAAATTCCGGACAAGATATACCAGACGAGCACTAACAGAGATTGCAAATAACTCAAGAGATACCTTGAATCAATTTCAATTAAATTTCAATTGTCCAAAGTGCGGATCTTTGCAAGATTTATCTCTAACCGACTGAACCGTGACAGGGCTCAACACCAGGGTTTGGATTTCCCGACTGTAGTTGGTGTTAATTAACGTAGTTGGTTGAAGTAGTAATATGTGCTGGTATGGCGATGACTTTTCCAGGTCGATCATAAACTAGGTAATTAAGCTATTTATAAGTGATTGGAAGCCAAGAGTGTGCATGTGAGGGGTGGTCTTGATGCCGCGCACGCCAATTACTATTAGATTTTGAGATAGGCAACAGGAGATGTTAATGTGAGATTTCTTGTTGAAATACAAGCTAGGCCACCTACAATATGTCACTAACTCATGCTTAAAACCATTATGATATTGAAATGCATTATTTATGTGTTTCCTTGCAAATAACAGAAGAAATCAAATTATAACTTTTTGTTTAAAATTGAAAATTTCATCAGTTTACTCACACGGTTTGATATATTGCAGGCATTTGGGAGTCTGCTGCAAAATCAATATCAAAATCTAAAATAAAAATTTACTCAGACGTAAGTTACTCTTTAACTTACAGACAACAGCCCAAGCTGAAATAAAATCTGTGGCAAATAGCACAAGAAACTATTAACAAAAATGCTATTAGGTAAACCAAACGAAAAAAAAACATCAAAAATTTACTATACATATGCCACTTACCTTCCATGCTTTTAAACGTATTAGACTGCACTAAGGGTTGAGGGGGCTGGCCCCAGTCATAGTACCATTCAGATCCCCTCTGTCCCGGGGGATACCCCCCATACGTTCCGTCCCCCATGATCGACCCTGACATAATGGAGGCTATGGTGAAACTGTTGGCACGAGGAGACAGCGGGTAGTTATTGTAACTGCCCACATCCATATTTAATTTTTTAAAAATGATGGCTCCACGCTCTTAACACAAAAATAGCTGCAATCAAAAATAAAAAAATACGAAAAGCCAAAACAAACAGGTTGTAAATCAGAATAAATGAACCGTTTTTCCTCCTTTCGTTCCAAGTGACGTCAGATACAAGCGGTTCCAATTCCTCAGTGCTTGCATTTATAATTTGCGTTTCAAAAGTTCCCCGCTGTTGCGTTATAAAAGGAAAGCAGGCATGGACAGAGGGATCCGTATCATGTTGTTAATAGCGGCGTTTCTCCTCTCCTTCCCTTGTGCAGCACGGCACGGCTTATGCTAACCTTGGAAGATCATCAAATGAGATCATCACTCTGATGGTAGGTGATGCGTCAATGAAGAGAGGAGAGCCAACCTTCTCTCCCAACCTCCTTGGCTTCTCCCTGCCAATCATAGCAAGGCTCCGTTCCATTAATCATCCACAAAGTGTCGCGGGATGACAGGTTATTGGTACCATGTGCCTGGGGAATCGAACTCACCGAGGATCAGCCTCGGATTACAGAATAAAGTTCCGTATCGTTCACTTTGCCCAAACTGCTGTTTATTTCTCCAAAAGAAACATCTCCTTCTCCACAACGATGCCCCCCTGCGCGGAGGGTCTCAGCGCAGTCAAAGTGAAAACCGAGCGTGGTTTAAGCGCCGAAGTAAATTTAATTAGAAAGTTTAAGAAAACACACGCACGGTATTTTCGTATCGCTGCGTTAACAAAACATTTGATACCGTTTTGTCAGGAGACACAGGAAAGGGGGGGGGGGCATACAGTGTCATTAAACTTTGGTTAGAGGTGGATATGTAACAGGAACATTGTCTTTATCTGTAGCATGGAAGGAGAGAAATATGCCGGTCCCGGATATCGCTTCAATCAGCAAATTAACAAACTGGCACCTAGTTTAGGTGAAAGGTGTCTCAATTTGCTCTCAGTCATACCATCAGAGTATCATCACTTGCCAACAAGTAAACGGTCATCGCCCAACTCGGCCAGCTGGACAATCTCAATAAACTGGGCAGTGGTCAGTCTTGTAGCAACACGAATGTATGATGGAAAACAGATGGTTGCATTGGTCTTGTCCAACGTGTGATAACTACCTGTGTGTTTGGTCTTTAGAAGTGTGTGGCCTGCCACGGTCCGCAGGTGCTCGGAGGGGTTTCTGGTCATTCGCCCACCCGTCCAAACCGAAAGGAATTTCATACTCAAAACACACACTTCCTCTCGAGATGTTGGAATAATAAACAAAAGGGATACAAATTTTGAAAATAAGATCTGGCTGGGCACCTTCAAAACATTTCATCATTTGTGGGTATTTAGGACACTGAAGGTTCGTGCAACCTTATAAAAGCACGATATTAAAGTGCTATCTAAATTTTTCTTTTCTTTTTATAAAATAAATATCTACGTTGTGAAAAAGACATATCATGTAGAATTTAATTAAATTTAACATTTGAAAACTTAGGATGTTTTCTGGCCCAGCTTGTGCGATGTTCCGTGATGATGGCAAAACGTTTGCACAACAATGTTTTCAGGTATTAATGTGTGGTCCTATTATCAGAGACCTCTCCTAAAGTTAATACAGATGTCTGTTATATAGTTTCCTATGATACCCAGAAAGCTGATAGATCAGCTGAGATCTCAGAATAAAACGCACGTAACGCTCACAACGCTGAACACGCAATCCTGGCACGCGGCATTCCTTAATCTCTTAATTAACCAGGTAAGAAAATAAAAACAGGTAAATATAACTGTAGCAGCCATAGCCATGGTGTGGTCTTCTGAGGTGATCAGAGAGAGAGAGAGAGAGACAGGCGCAGGTGAGAGAGGACGAAAAGAGCCGACGTCTTCGGTTGGAGAAAACCAAGCCTGGTGCTCCGCCAGCAGCATTTTCAACTCGTGTAACTGTCAGGAGAAAGGTAACGAGGGGGAAAGTGAAAATCATTTTACATTTCTGGAATTTCCGCCACCCCGAATTTTATCTCTATAGTTCAGTCTATTTCCCCCAGCCACTGAGAAGAATGGATTGGTAGGTATATTAATCGACTATCGGGCTTGAAAGTTCACCCGCGTTTCTGAGGATTTTGGGTCTGACCTTCTGTGATTGCTTGGTAGTCCCATGCCGTAATATGAAACTTCCACGGGGTTCCCTTTGAAAATATAATATCTTATCTCATTCGGAAATGAATCCGAAAGATTTGTTGTCAAATGTTGCAGCTTGGTTCTGTTTTAAGGCTAAATGAGTTCATTTGACGCAAAGAGGTTTAGTAGTGCATAAGTAGCAATTTTACAACAAAGTGTCAGACGAGGGAGAAAGAAGATATATTGCTTGTTTTGATACACCATACTTTTGTACTCTAGGCAGTTTGCTTTATAAATAAACATGTTTTGATACAAAGAATTTTATCATATTGGACACTTATAACGTGACAAAACAAGCCATCTTCGTGTGTACTCAACTATTTGGCATTGTTTAGACCATCAATCTTTAAAACATTTTCGCACGCAATCGCTCCCTATTAATCTTATAATTCTATCCGAATTTCTTTAAGAACCCATTAAATTTAATCAATTTGAATAAATAGAGGTAATATAGTACTCGAATTCAGCTAAAATATTTTTTTAAAGATGTCTTAAAACACTGCTGTAGTTTAAAGACTATAAGATACAATCTCTATGTGCCTGTCATACTTTCTCCGTTACATCTTTTATATAGAGAAGACATGGGAGATTTGTTTAATATTTTACAAAAATATTTCTTATTATAGGACACAAAACCAATAAGCAGTTTTTGCCTTAGTTATAGTCATTAAAATTCTAGCAATTTAGACAACAGCTTAGCCCCGTTAACCTTAACTATATTTTCGCATTCAAGATAGAGGCAATTTCGGCAGTCGCAAAGCTATTTGAGGAATTGCAGCCTTTAAATCACTTCTGCACGTGCAGGTCGCGGATCATATTTTTTGTTTATAAAATGTGACAATTATTGTATTGGTGCGATGGCAACGACGTGAGAAAGTTTAATGGATGCGGCTGGTTTTCTCCTAGGTTCCACCAAAGGCAGCGATGCGCTAAGATCTAATGGGCAAGCTTTCAAAATTTTTAAGACAAGGTGAACCTCTACGAACGGAAGACGTCTAGTGCTTTCAGCTCATGTTGCCGTTGTTCTGGGGTCCTTTGCTGTAACGGAAGATTTCAAATACACCAGCGTCATAAACAACTTTCTTGAATGAAAAATGATGCAGTTCACCATTTCCTTGCTCTGTCATCTACGCGGGGTTAGTTTAACAAGGCTATCACAAATTGATATTTTGGTTACCATATTGACCAATTATTTTTCATAAACGACCCTGAGGTGCAGTGAAGCGTCCTCGAGTGCTAACGGACGGCGTGCGCCGGCAATTATCCTGTTTCTGCCGGGTGTGTGGTAGACCCATACCGTACGGTGAATTCCTTGGGGGGAGCGAGCTGTGTTAAAGTCATGTTTTAAATCAGAGAAACTGCCAGGATGAAAAGGAATCGTGATGGCCCCGACAAGGTGTGCATTACTTGTCCAGAATTGAAACAAAGTCTGAAAAAAGCTCCTCTGACGCGAAGGGTGGCCAGGGTCGAGCGAGCATATGCGGCAGATAAAATAGCAATGAGAAAACCATCCCCAATCGGCCCTTCAAAAAAGTTCAAAAACGCTATCGCGGGCTGCAGGCTGTCACATAGTTTAAATTTTTACAGCTCAATGACTGGCTAATTATGATTAATCGCCAGGCCAAGTTTTCTTATAAAGTCATTCGAGCCTTTCGCCCAGGAAAGCTGGCAGGAACAGCTGTGTTTGCTATCAGCCGCCAATTATCTCACTAATGCGTGTCTACGGTTACCTAGCCTAAATTAACCAATAAATATCAAATGATATGATAACAGAAAACTTCACCCAGCTACCTCTTGCTCTAGCGTTCTTTCTAATATCATCCGCGTGTATCATTTTGGCCACCCATAGTTGACGCTGACCAGACCCGCCTTTTTTACACGCTTTAGACAATCTTTTTGTTTGGGTCGTCTTGTGAAGTTTGAGTGCATATTACGGAGTGTATTTATCAAAATATCTAACAAACTCCGTAAGACATGAGGCGACGGGTGCAATCTTGGTGTGGCTCCCAGTGATTCAACAAACTATAACATAAAAACTATGCTGCCCAACCTTCTTTGACCGCTCCGCTTTGGAAAGTTCAAAAAGAAAATAATGCGTATTTAAAAAACTTTATTTTTGGTGGGCGACTTTCAGAGGATGTTGACAAACTTATAGTCTTTTTTATCTTGTATCCCTTTGAAAAAGTCCACAATAAAACTAAAAAAATTGGGCGTGCAGTCCTTAATTGTGAAATGTGCAAAATGTTGTTGAACTAGTTTTTGCAAATGTTCGGGGTCTGATAAAATGTTTGAGGCAACAGCCTCTTTTCTGATAGAAAAGATATGAGCCTCTTTTCGGTCGCACAAAAGACCTCAGTGCAGAAACAATACAAACGGACGTAAAATGCCAACAAATACGCGTACACTGGAAGAGACTAAATAACAGTTACTTAACCAGGGGCGGATTTAGGGCGTCTTCTGGGTCTTCCGGAAGACAGTCATATTTTCAAGTTTACATTGACGGGTATCTAATTATTTCTGTCGGAAGACGGTCAAAAAATGGAGGATGGATCAACAAAGATAATTTGGAAGACTGTCAGAAAATAACTCTGGATCCGCCCCTGTTAACAGTCGCAAAACACGCTTTACAGTGCACATTTTTCAAATATATCGATTGTACTGAGAATGCAAATAAAAGGGAAAATCGTAAAATTGAGTTTTCTGAAAAGTTTTAAGCACAAAAATAAATGAACGAACAATGTGAATTTTGAATTCAAAGCACTAGGTCTCACTTAACTTTAACTACAGTATTCAAATAATTTGCATCACTACAACGAAATTTCAAAGCATTTCATTC